ATTAGTTTGGTGCAAGGTTTATAATATTATTGAGAAGCGACGGACATAAATCAATTAGCATTCAAAAAAATATTACGAGAGAAATTATATAAAAAAGAAAAACCTGTGAATTTCACAGAAATTTTTTGTAGTATCCACAAAATTAGATTTGTGATATTCGCAGACCAGTTTGTTATGTACACAAACTTTTCTTGAAAATTGAATCTGTTATTTTAAATTAATAATTCTATCTTGTATTTTGGAATATTAATTTATTTGATGTTATCATAGGGGCACTTGAAAAAGAGGAAGAGGGAAAGAAATAGAGATAAATGCGTTTATTGCTATATAGATGGGCGGAGGCTGGTTAGGTTACTTGGTTATTTCGCCGGCGCACAGCGACCTCGCTGTACTTTCCCGTTATCCTGCGCTTTTGCACTATGCTCAATCTGGTCAGCGAAAACCTTATATTTCGTATATGTAAGTTTTCATATCATTAGACTAGTATTTAGTGTGATAAAACATCGAGGGTTAAGCACTTTCGAAAACCCATAGATAATAAAATAATCTTTATGTGCTCTCTAAATTTCAATTAGCGAGAACTCGTTCACTGATTTGAATTAGTAAAATTTTTTACTAATTTAATGTTTTACTAAAAATTAGTGAAAATTTCTGCTAATATGATTTAATAAATGAATTCTCACTAATTCAAATTTAAAGAGTGTAATGATCAAATTACTAAAATTAAACGCCCAGACTAAGTAGCTTGAAAATATCAAACATTTTTTTGAAGTTGTCACATGAATATAGTAAAAACGTGCGCGTTCTTATTAGTATATGAATGTCATTGCGTTACTTGACAAATGTTTTAGAATCCAATCTTGATATGAGTTAATAATGTTTATATGTGTGCTTAAAATGCATTAAAGAAACTGTCATTATATCTATATTATATATAACTTTTTTTATTTAGCATTGATGTAATAAAAATAAATATGTAGGCAAATTTACAGAAAAAATTGTGAGTTATTAAAATAAGATTTCTTATTTTAAACCACACGGAGAAAAAAAGTTAGCTACTCTCTAAATTTGAATTGATAAAAATTTTAACTAATTTGAATTAGTTTTTTTTGCTTTTCAATAAGTTAAATTTTATTAATACAAAAGCAAAAAGGGAGTCACTAATTTAAATTAGTAAAAAAATTTTAAATAGTACATTAGCTAATATTAAGCTTAAATAATCCTTGCTATTTTTGATAATCTCATATTGAAACAGAAAACAAAATTTTCTTTTTAATGAGACTGAAAATAAATATATTGCATGTTATAATAATATACTTAAAAGATTAAAATGTAACCGTCTATAATATATATATCAAATAGATTTGCACAACTCGTACAAAAATGGAGGTCGTGAATACAATATCACCACGCAATTAGAGTGCCAAGTAATTTCCTGTCAAACCGATAGTCTCATTATGTTGAACAATTGTGCGTCCTTTCTGCTTTTTAATACACACTATTTACACCAATACGATTGTAAAAAGTATAATATACATATATATAATAGAAATAAATGCCATATACTTTGTTCAATTAATGGTCTTAATCGTGTGTCACTATATAACTATTAACAAATGTCACTTCTGCGAACTAATGTTAGAAATCACAGTTAATGGAAGTATTAAAAAGCATTGCAGATTAAACTAATACCATAAAATATTAAAATAGGTCATTTTTTTAATTAAGTTTATGAATTTTTGAAAGTTTGCAATTTAATTTTTGGATGATCTTATTTTAAATCAAAAGAAAACTCTTTCTCTAAAATAGCATAATGTAATAATTTTTAGTTTTAGTTAACATAACAAGCTAGGATTAAAGTGCCAGCTACTATAACGCATTTAGTATACCTTTAGATATACCTTACAGTGTATTATGATCATAAATAATAAATATCAGGATGATTGTGTGCTTATTATAACGGAAGTGAAAAAGAAAGATGATGTAAAATTGTTTTCTTTTTGTTTGCTATTTGCTCGTTACACACTCTTTTTTTATTTATGTTAATTTCAATATATAAATGTAGGTAATGTGAACACGTGTAAGTATATAATAATCGCTTGGGTATTCGTTAGGACTTTCATGCTCGGCGGTGCACATCACACATATTTCCTGGCTACTCGTAAAATCTTAATCAAATCAACCCTATTGTTTACCTCAGCTTATTATATGTTTAAATTTTTTCCTTTCACGGTCATTGATCTAAACTAATCATTCCGAACTCGCCAAATATAATAAAAAAAAAAATACTTTTTAAGTTAATGACAAACATTTTGCTACTAAATTTTACTATTTGAATGAATTAATTTTTTGCAAATTTAGTAAATGTTAAATGATTCATAATAGAGAAAAATAGCCAAAATTAAATTTTTCCTCACAAAGTTCCTTGAAAAAAAACCCACACTGAAAGACTTTATTTAAAAAATTATTAAATATATTTCAAAATGGGGAAAACCCGGAAAACTCTAATAGTATGTTTCATACAGAGTTTTCCCTATTTTGAAATACATTTATTAATTTTTGAAATGAAAATTTTTTCAGTAAAGGATAATGTCGCATCTCATAATCTTTATAAACGATTATTGTGACTTGTGTGAAGGACCAATCAGAAACTAAATGAGTACAAATCCATTATGGTAGTCTGTGAACAATAACTCTTCTCCACTCTCGGACATTTAATGGTCATCCGTCTATTTAACGTAGAGGAAGAGGAAGTGGCTGATGGGTAGATAGTTTGAGAGCGTTTTGTAACTAATTTTAAGAGTAAATTGTCCGTAACATTGGTTTGGCTGGCTTACATTCTTGTATATATATATGTACATTTATATATTAAACCGTCGCAGTGATGGTTTCACAAGACAACTACTCTTGTGACCGATGTGCCAACAACAACAATAACAACAGAGTGTAGGTGCAGAAACAAGCCACATATATAAATGTGTAGGCAGATTATTATTTGTTGATACATTCTGCCAATCAGAAATGTTGATCATCATTCTCTATTTCATCTAATGCACATACATAATATTATAATTTTAATATTTGCATCTGTGTGCGTATTTTCCATAAAATTGCATCGTAAAACTGTATATGTAGTCTTCTATATAGTAGCAATTAAGATGTCTGTTAATTATGCGATTTTCAAATTCAACTAATCTAATTGAAATAATTAAGTATGCTCATGGTCATGTATCCGGTTCGACCGCCTTATCGCACATTAATATAGCAATAATAATCTACAAGTATCTGCGAGTTGCATATATATATATATATATATATATATATATATATATATATCTATGCATGTACAGAGAAAAATTATTTTGGTCAGAAAAAAAATATTGGATACTCTTAGGAATCACGATTTTCTTGAGGGCCCTTTTTAAATTTTTATTTCATCCACATTTTGAGTATCAATTCGTTACAATTTGATATACTTTTAAGTTAACAGTGTTGTCAAAAATTGATAAAGAATAGATGTATAAATTCTTTTTGTTTTTTTGTAATTAATTTTACCATAACTCTTTAAATGGTCATTAAATATGTGATATTATATAAAAAAAGCAAAAAGGGTCATATACAACCCTCTGCGAGAATAGCTGAACCATGGAAACGATTCATCCGGTGAACATTGGTCGCCTTTAATTTCTACCGGATACAATAATCGTGAACTTCCTTTCCCTTATTGTAGTACATATATGTTACATATATGTTTATTATAATTACATTCAATATGCGCGTTTAACGCGATTTTCCTGTTGATTAATTGCTTAAACTGTTCTTGCTCTCAAGTATATTATATTTTAAGTTTAAATATCATCTTGAGCGTCAAAATTTTAAAATTCAACCTTTTTTTAATTCTTTTGAATAAAATGATGCAATTTTAAACTAATCCACAAGCATAATTCGTAAAATAAGAGATCTTATTTCAATACTTTACAATTTCCTGTTATAATTCTAATAAAAAGAATTTTCTTCTTTTTAAGAAAAAGAAATGAAAAATATTCTCATTTTAAGAATAACATTTATATTCTTATCAATTTGACAATCTTTTTTTTTGATTTACATTTGTATATTAAATTATTAATAGTGGTAAAGATTTTAGCGACAATGATGTATTGAATTTAAAAACATAAAGTGTTTATATATATAAATATTCCTGATTCTTTATTATGATTGTTTATGCGTATTGTAAATTTTTAATATTCATAATTTCCTGGGTCATTATTTATATATTCGAGGTTAACTGTTTTTGTTTTTTTTCTGTGGGAAAAGTGTGTTGTAACATATCGTATAAGGTATACCGTATATATTAGATATAGGTATAATAATTGTTTCAATTTAAATAAAACATTTAAACTTTTAAATGGTTCATTTATTTTTATTGTTATACTAAACAATTTTTAATACTGAGAAAAAATATTTACTAATACATATATAGGATATCTTTATACATTTTGAAATCAATAAATCATTGTTGCTAAATCATTAGAAAGATCTAATTTTTTTTAAATAATGCAGATTAATTTTTTTTTATTTTTTGTGAAAAAAGTACATATTTTTAAATTGGTTAAATTTTTTACTAATTCAGATTTAGAGTGATATACACTGAAAAAAATTTATTTGATTCAAATAATCGGATTTTTTCGTTTAGTAGTTTTTTGGCTGATTTGTTTACTAAATAAATTAGTAACCATTTTGACATAATGCTTAGTAAAAAAAAAAATAAATAATTGGTGGTAGAAAACAACTAATGTATTTAACGAGGCAAATTTCAATTAGTAGGGCAAATTACTAATTTTAATTAGTACTAAATGAACAACAAAATGTATTTAAATCAAAGAAACTTTCTTCTAATCAAAAACCGTGCTTTTATTTTAAAGAAAATTTTATTGAAACAAATAAAGTTTGAGAATGATTTTTTTTCGGTGTAGTGAAGAAAAAAATGAAAAATTTGTTACCTGCATCTGCAGCCATGAATAGTCAATATAAGCAGTTGTATTGGTGGTTGTTGTTGTTGTCGTTGACGTAGCATTAGGAACTGTTGATGATGATGATGATGATACATGTTGCCAGTTATCCTGACCAGTACCAGTTGTGAGAACAGTGAGATCGTCTGTATGACCTCTTTCAGGAACAATTTGATCGGTATATTGATAAGACGTTGTTTGTATTGTTGGTTGACCTGTTGAGGACAAAGTCACTGGATGTTGAGGGTGTTGGGCCCCCGAGCCGGCAGCGGCAGTGGGTAAACAGCACACGCTTACGTCCATCCGGCGGGGGCAGGGAGGCGATGGTGAATCGTCAAATTTTACAATATCTTCGGAATAATAATTATTAAATTGTTCAAATCCCTCTTTAGCCTCCCAAAATGATCCTCTTTCAATTCTAAAACTTTCTCGAATCATTCGCGTAAAGAAAAATTACACTGTTTTTCTTCTTTTGATTTTCTTACATACTTTTTTCACTTTTTTTCTTCTTCTATTTCACTTGGTATTCTTCTTTAATTTTCATTTTTAATTTCTCTTTGGCTTCCGCTTTCTCTTTATGGGAATGATATAAAATTAAAATTGACTTATTCATTTTTTTAAGTCAAGTCCTTGTAGGAAAATATTTTCCAATTTTTATAAACACTTGGATTAATATTCAATAGTAATAATAACGAACACTGATCACTGAGAATCACAAAACTGTTCAATAATATTCTGCACAAAAATAAGTCTTTATTATTTAAAACACAAGACTTTAAAGCCCTGAAAAATCTTCTTTTTGCATTCATTTAATACTGGGTGCAAAAACACTTTTTTGTCGGGTTCAATAATATTTTCAAATTAACTTATTAATAATACTGCAATAATATTTTCACAAATAAATCTGTGTTCTTTGAAACTCATCTTTTTTCCAAATTCCATTTCGTTAGCTAAAATTTATTAGCACAAGAAAACTTGGTTTTTTTTAAATAAACAACACATATGCCGAGTTAATCATTTCTATAGTCTTGACAATATTTATGTACAAGAAATTCATGTAGGAAATTTTTTTTAATAAAATTATACGAGGGCATGTTTTTTAAAAAAAAAAAAACTTGTTGGAATATGCACGCAGGTCCTCCTCTCATCAACAATGACAGTATTATCAGCGTGTGTGCTCCTAACTCCCGTTAATGTGGCGCGAGACACTATACGAGTAGAAGGAAATTTTAAATGTGGAGGGGAGAATTTTTAGGTAAGAAAAAGGGTGGAAGTTGGATTTACAAAAGAGAATATTAATAATTTAAAAAATGAAAATAAAAATCAATAACGTAGAGAGATAAAAAATAAATTAAGAAGCAAAGAAGAAGATTATAATAAAAAAAGGAAAGAATGAGTCAAAAGATGTTGATAAAGTATTAATAAAAAAAAGAGGTGTTTACTTAAATAATAAGGGTGGCGAACAGATTCAAATGGCGCGCGCGCGCAAGCGCTTAAATTGATTGTTAAAGAACTAAACAATTGTATATAGTGAATAAACACGTGCGCATGCGTACATGCATGTCGCCAAGGCAACGGTTCCTCGGTAACTGCCTAGGCCCCGGGCACGAGCCTCAGCGGCCATTCTGCCTCCACCTCTTGCCAACTCTCACACTTGTTTCACCTATCCATCCCCTCTTTTACCTGAGGAATCCCCTTCTCCTTTAGAATTCGAAGCAATATACACATAATACCCAATAATCTAACAATTTTATTAATTAATAATTTAAAAAAAAAATTTAATTCCATTTTCTTTATTTTTGAAAATTTAATTTTTCATCTAAAAATTTGTCCAGGCTCTAATTAACTATTTTTATGATATATAATTATCAAAACCAATATCGAAAAATGATTTAGCCCAAAAGAATAAATGTTGTTAATTGTAAATTCATTAAAAAACAAATCTAGTTAAATAAAAATAAAAATTCAACGAAATAACAATTTGCTTAAATAAAAATTCGGTGAAAAATAAATTCGATTGTGTAATCAATAAATGCGCTTAGAAAATAAAAAATAAATTTCCATAATATAATCGACATAAAACAAATATTAAAATAAAATAAAGTTTGGTACTGTATATAGCAAATGTTAAATGTATTCTCTGAAAAATGTTTAACATGTTAAACAGATACAACAGTACCGAAGATTTACGAACGAATTTTTATTTTATTTTTTTTTTAATAGAGGTGTAGGTAATTTTTCCTTAACATATGTTAAATATAGAGTAGATTTTAAGATGAATGGATGGTCTGGTGACACATCATAACAGAGCGGCAAAGTTCCATACAGAATAAATCAAAGTATACATAATGAGGTAAGAGGTGTATATATGTATTCAGCCTCTGGACTGCGATAAGCGAGCATTCTATTATTATATAGTCAGTGCAAAATGACAACTTGCTTTAATACAAAATTTCAATGATTACAAAATAGATTAATTGAAGGGAGGAAAAAAGAAAACCAATTTACAGAGCTGTGATTGTAGTCTTTTAATTTGACACTTAAAGAGACATGTAAATTATATTATTATGCCATAAGATATTTACAAATTCTTATTGTATATATTGATGTATACAATAATAATATTCATGCAACAATATTTTAAAAATTATTATTCCACAGTAGGACGCAATATCCAGTACAAAGAAATGTGGATATTAAAAAAGAAATAAAATGAAACTTGCACTATTCAAATATTGAATATTCCACATTTCTCCGTTTGATATTTAATTTATATAACAATAAATTACTTTTTTTTAAAAAAATTAAAATTAAAACTATCTGTTTAACAGATTATTATATATATATATAATTGTTCTTTTCTTTCAGTAGCATTAAAATATTTCATCGAGAAATTGAAAAGCGAGTATTTTTCTTCTATTTTTTGCAAATTGTATTTTAAATAGACACTCTTACATCAAGTATAATAGATATACGCTTCTATTGCAATGTACAAACACAAAAGAAATGCATACAATTAATTTTTCAAAATAGTGATAAAATTAGTTAATTTGTTTTTTTGTTCAAAAAGAAAAAATTTATGGGTCTAAAATATATTATATGGTCGAAATTCATTAGATATGACTTTTTATTAATCTATCAGTTTGTTCTTGTTCGACCGATATTATTAATAAATAAAAATTTTTTAAATAATACAATTCACGCGGTGAGATAAATTAAAAATTAATTAAATTGATTCTAATTTGAAAATTTTTGCGATCGCTGTATTCAAATGAATGATGAAAAATTGAAAATTTTGGATAATTTTTTTAAAAGAAATTCAATTTTTTAGAAAATCATCCTCAATATTGGATAAGATATTTTGAATTTTGAAATTAAGATCTGGATTCAATAATTAAACAAAGCGGTAGATATTATAAATTGATTTGATGAATTTTTAATTTTATTCACGCACAATTTAGTCTAATCATTTCTTTTTTTATTTGCTTTATTAGCATAACTGAATGTCAATAATAATAAAAATAATAATCATTACTATTGCCGAATGATGTTTCATTTTGGATTTAAAATATAAAATGAAACATGAGAATATTAATTAAATAATACAGAATTTGGATCTTCATTATCCAACTGCTTTACATGTCTTAGGACGTCTTTTTTAGTAATTACTCCTAGTAATCGACTGCAAAAATATCAGAAAATAAATCAAAGTTAAATTGTTCATTTAATGATAATTGAATAATTTAAAAAATATTTAGAATTTTCGATCACTTACCCATTATGCGTGACAAGTGTTTGTCGTAATCCCAATTTTCTAAACATATCAACAACAGCTTCCATTGGAGTTTGATCCGTAATTGTTATGGGTGCCATGTCGAGAATTTTTTTCAATTTTAAAGGTGGTGGCATACCGTGTGATTGAATATTACTTCCACTTGTAAAAAGAATAAGTGATTGTCGTGTAATGCCCTCCATCATTCTTTTGGCATTTGCAATAGCTAAATTCAGATCTCTTCTCAATACAAAACCAACTAAATATTGTGATTCTTTCGAAACAATAACTGGAAAACCATTGTGTTCAGTTTCTTTCAATAATGTTTCCACATCCTCAACTGTCATTGAATCCTGTGTAAGTACATGTAATGCTTCATTACGCCTAGAAAGAAAAAATGTAATTTAGTTTCCATTAAAAAAAAAAAATGTTTTTATGATAGAGGAAATAAATTGTAGAAATTTTGCACTCACTTAGGTTGCATGACATCAGCAGCTAATGTTGTATGTTGAAATTCATCTTTACTGTCTAAAAATGGATAACCGTTGAGTCCAATATGAGCGTCATAAATTCCCTGTTTTCCAAGTGCATCACCAACCCATTTACTTGCCATTGCTGCTGCCATTAATGGCACAATATATCTAACACCTCCAGTTAATTCAAACATAACAACAACCAATGAAACTGTCATTCTTGTCACACCACCTAAAACTGCAGCGGCACCAACCATTGCATATAATCCTGGTGTAATGCAATTAACGCCCGTTGAACATTCTTCGCTAAACATCCAAATATGAGGATAATTATAGGCGAGTTGTTCCATTCCAATACCAACGATACGTCCAATTATTGCTCCAAAGCACAATGATGGTATGAATAAGCCACAGGGAACTTTCATACCAAATGTAAATATCGTCAAAATAAATTTCAAAATTAACGCAATCACCAAAAGCCAAACAGCATCAAATACACCTGCATCAGCTGTGGCTACATCAATTCCCGAACCGACTGTCGTAAAATTTCGATTGTAGTCGCTATTAAAAAAAGGACTTTTTTTAGTACTAGAGAAAGAATACATTTTTCTTAACCCCTTCACTGTTATTGACCTCTATAGAGGCATAAAAATGTCGTGCCACCAGTGTGCATGACCGCTATAGCGGCATCTCAAAAAAAATAAGTAGACACAAAATATGATAAATTATCGATAGTTTACTTCATTATTTTAATAATCGTTTACTTCATTATTTTAACAATACAATAAACTTGTCAATGGGTATTCTTAGATTTTCGGGTTTTTTTTAATATCAATTTAAAAAAAAAAAAATTTTTTTCCCACATACGGGACACTGAAGCTTTATTTTTGCTACACTGCGAAGGGGTTAATTGAAAAATTCAATTGCTAACTAACCATATTAAATCAGCATTCGAGACACCGCACTGCCTGAAAAGCAAATAAATCAACTGACTTGTACTCATTCTTGTATATCGGTTAGGATAAGCAATTATTGCTGTTATGACAGTAACTGCCAATACTTCGGTAACTGGATATTGACCAAGTTTGGAAGTTTTGCGATAACGACACCAGTAGAGGTTTGCTCTAATAAATAATGAACCAATGACTCCCTGTAAAAAAACATTTAATTAGCATAAAATTTTATCCAAAGTTTTTTTTTCTGTTTATACTACTTACTCCAATTATTCCTAGCATCACAAATGGAATTAATTCAAAAAATATCCAAGGTTTATTGTATTCGACATAAAATAAAACAGAATGCTCATTTCCAAATGGATTAATTGATCGTAATACGAATGCAGCAATTAGAGCACAGAAAAATGATCGCCACAGTGTTTTTAAGGGAAAATAGTAACTGACCTAAAAAAAAATATTATTTGTTTATTTAAAGATTATTATTTAATTATTTATTTAAAGAACATTGGAAAAATACCTCTTCCAAACTGAACAAAACACCGCCAATCGGTGCTCCAAAAGCTACAGAAACACCAGCAGCTGCAGCGGCTGATAAAATTTCCCTCTTTTTCGCTTCATTTCTACCGTACTTGGGAAATAAATATGAAAAAATATTGCCTATGCAACACGCTATATGTACCATCGGTCCTTCTTTTCCTAAATTTAAACCCGCCGATACAGACAGAATAAGACCCACGGATTTTATAATAAGTGTCCATTTTCCCAAATATCCTCGTATTATGAAACCGCTTAAAATAGTTTTTATCTGCACGAATAGTGTAATTAAAATTTAAAATATATAAAAATAAAGAAAAATTATAAAAATTAATAATCACCTCAGGTATACCAGAACCACAAGCATACGGAGCAAACATTCTCACTAATGAGGCTGATAATGACGCAAATAGAAGAGCCCATGCTACATAGAATAAATATGAAATAAAATCTGAGCCAGTTCCATCTTTCGATTGTTTAAAAACTTCAGGCCATGTTAACCACTGAAATCAAAAGGAAGAAAAAAACACATAATTATTGACAAATTCAAATTCTATATTCTAATAAATATTAATTAATTGTAAATTACAAGCACCTGTGAGCAATTTTCTCCATCGAAATTTGTTTCATTATAACTCCAACAACATTGCTCTTTATTGAGCCAAAATGCTTCGGGACATATTCCAAATTTTAAATCTGACATCCATGATGCGCCAATATCAATAACACCAGCCGCCACACCAGTAAAAAGACCGACAAATAAAACACAAAGCCATCCTGACCATGCATCATGTGCACCCTTAATTAAATCCCAAATTGAATCGTGTTTCTTTTTCAATATATAACGATGTCGCATACGATCTCTCGCAATATCTCTTTGCCAATCAATTGTATGAAAATCATCATATTGACCGATTCCAGGAATGTCATCTGAATCGGCTGAAACTATTTTTTTTCATAAATAAAAAGAAATATACAATTAAAAAAATTTGTAACTTCTGAAAAAGACATCAATTTTATACACATGACTTACAATGTGATGATGCATCATCAAGACGAAGACTTCTCTCTAGATAAGCATTATTTCCTGATTTATGTGAAGCTGATTGTTGATTAGCCACAAGCATATCTTCATCACTACTTTGACTTCCAACACGACTTGTTGCACCGCTTCTTAAACGTGCGTTATCCGAGTTACCATTTTTTACTCCATTACCATTCTAAAATAAATGTCTACTTATCAATATTTATTTACTATTAAAAAAGAATTTTTATTCTCATCTGTAATGTCAAATTAGTGTATAGTTTTATTATTAATAAATATTTAAAATGGACTGAGCCGATCGGAAGATATTAAACATCATATTTCTCAGCAACTAAAGATATTGAATAAACAAAAAAAAAGAATGTAATGATTTTGAAATAAATAATATAAAAATGTAGAAAATAAATTGAGAATGAATGAGGGAAGTATGATGCCTACCTGGGCATCGACCGAGTGATAAGTGGCTAGTGCAGAATTGCTGAATGATGTTGATGATGTACCCTTCAGTGGAAATTTCTCCATCGCATCGAGCTGATCTGCTTTTTGAAAATTGCACTCAAATATTTAAATGTACCTATTTTTGTAATATACATATTTATATAATAGGTACATTTCATATTTCAATGATGCGGTAGACAGAATATAGGATTGGGAGAAAATGATTTCAATTTCTATAATGAAAAATTAAATGTGGAAAAAAAAATTTAATGAAACACATTATGAGTAAAAAATTTAACTAATTTATGTATTAGTTAAATATCTGCCGAGCGGCTTAATTAACAATTTAACTGCAAAATATTAATAGTTTTTCGATTTTTCATGCAAACATAATAAATAAATTTGAAAAATTGTCCACACAATTAAAATAATTGACATTATTATTTATATAAAATTAATTTGGTTATAGATCATTTAAATTTGTTTCCTATATCACAATTTAGACAATTGCTCTACTGTAACTGTTGATCATATATATATATGTATATATAGTTACTGTCAATTGTTTACAGTAAAATTTATAATACCTGTGTATTTCTTGGAAAAATGTAACAAAAAAATATATATTTGTTCATAATTGAATTTAGTTAAAAATAATATTTCATATAAAAGGATTTTAATTACACAATTTGTTATGTAACAAAGTGCATTGTCAAAAAGTTATTGATAAAATGACTTGTCATTTTCTTTTACTTTAATCGGGCAACAATTCATAATTTTACACATATAAAAGACAATTAACAAAAATAATTTTATCTTTGACATTGAAAAAAAATTAAGTGCGACAAAAAAATCAAACCTGAAAAATTAACTTTTTTTATCCACATTTCTTCAAATTGATAATATATTAGTTACTTATCTGAATGACTCAGTATATGCATGTTTTTATCTTAAATTTACTTTTGGTAAAATTTAAATTACTAAATTTAAAAAGAAACCAAATTTTTTTTGCAATTATAGTAATCTAATTATAAATCTTACATTTTTAACTAAATTGAATAATATCTTCTATTGTAGCAGAAGAAGTTCAAAAAATTAAGTGTATGATAGAAAAATTTAGGAAAAAGTAAAAAAAAACAACTTATTTTTTAATATAAAAATGGATGTTGTTTCACTTGACTTTACAGATGCACTAGTCTAAGTTATTAACATATGCAAAATTAATAACGTTATAATGAACTTAATCTGGTTATATTTAAATTAACAGATGTTCGTTTACTCTAAAATTAAGAGTTAAAAATATGAAAAACAATTGTCATTGTAGCATCATATAATATGTTGACTCACCATTTTTCGTGGTTTGTCACTGGCAAACTATTCACTGTAGATTATTTTCCATTTAAGGTGTAAATACGGAAGTTAAAATATATAATAATATAGTGACAATTTACATTGAACACTGTTACTCAACAACACATTATTTTTCCAGACTATATTTTCATTTCCAGTTTATAAATCCACTGTTTTAATAGTTTACAAAACATAGCTTTTATCAGAATTTCTGATATTTTTTTTTTTAATATTCACTCACAATTGTTGCATCAGTGAAATAAACAGTTTATCATCTTTTATAGCTGACCTGCAAAACGCAATAAAGAAAGTTAATGCACATGACGTTTAAGAGTTAATTGAAAATAAATAATTGAAATTTAATTTTCTTTGAGAATTTTCAATAAACTTAACAATATAATAATACAATATTTATCTGTAGTTGTCACTGTATTTTAATTTTAATTAAAATTTCTTTACAAAAAAGTAAACTATTTGACTGGGTCCACAACACAAGGTGCAGTCTCACGTTAAGCCGTTTCTACAATAGAATGGTTTCAAAATAGTGCGAACGTCTGAAATACGACAGTTATACGTAAATAAATGTGTTTCCGAACTCTGGTTATACCATAAATTTCCGCCATTTTTACATTGTGAGACGAGCTTTAATCTAACTTAACCTGGTTTAATTCAATATTCCTTTACATTTTAGAACATTTCGATTGTTCTACTGTACTACAGTGATCGAAATCAGAAAAAATGTCGTCCGTAGAATTGAATCCAAGACCTGTTCGAGTTTCTCCATTAATTAAGGTATTTCAATTTTATATTTAAAAAACATTTTGAATATTATTCTTGAAAATCATTAAACAAAGATATTTTTTTCACTACAAGTAGTTATTTTCTAACCCTTAAAATTGCAAAATAAATAACGATACTTCTGACTATTAAATATTATAATTATGTAAGTTGTTTGATAATTTCAAAAAAACAAGTGTAATTTAATGTGCATATTATTGTTGTAATTATTTGAACTTTAAATTTATATTAAAATCTGTGTACAATATATATTAATTCAAGATTTCACAAATTATAATAAAAACCTAATTTTTATTAATAATATTTTAGGCATGTCGATGGTCTTTGCTCATAACTGGAGTATTTTATGGAATTTATAATCATAATAAATTCAGTAAGAGAGAAGCAATGCTTAGAGAAATTGAGGAACGAGAGAGGCCAGCAAAAGAAGCAAAACTTGCTGCTGAGAAAAAGATTCAACTAGCAGGTAATTATTGATGTTCTATGTCTATAATGTTAATGCAACAATTGAATATATTGTTGTAGTTACAATAATTCTACCCACAATGATATATCTATTATCAAAATTTTTTAAATGATGTCTTTTTTATTTCAGCCGAAATGCAGATGCTTGACGAGTTATTAGCCCCAACAAAAAAGTAAAGTAATTCAATAATTAAAACTAGTGTAAAGAAAATACTACTAATAAAATAATTTTAATGTTATCAAATTTATTTTAGTATTTTATAAAATTTTTATTTACACCATGTTTAATTTATATAATAATGTTATTTGTACAGTAAACACAAAAAATGATTTAATTTATATCATTTTTCACTAGTGTTTTGGCACAAAATTGTACAAATTTTAAATACTATCAGTAAACTTAAGAACAAAAACCTATTTTATCATCTATTTAAAAAATTCCGCATGTCCATTTTTTGCAAAATTAATTTTAAATCAATATTCATTTGAAAATTTAAAAATAAAGCAAAAAAGTGCGCCCGAACAGGGACTCGAACCCTGGACCCTCAGATTAAAAGTCTGATGCTCTACCGACTGAGCTATCCGGGCGACTGACTGAAACGGGAAATATAATGTTTACAAGGTGCAAAACATTATTTTTTAAATATATTATTTTAAATTTCTACACTGATTAATAATAACAAAAATATATAATATAATGACATGTCTTGAAGTATACACTTCTTAAATACTTGTATATTATTTATCTTTGCCCACTGCATTATCAACTAAATAATGTACTTGCATATTTAGTAATTCGGCAGAAAAATAGATGGCGTCAAAGCTGGTTTAAAAAAATTATTATACATAATTAATGTTTATATTAGTTAAAATATGTTTGAAACATAATTTTGGTTAAATGTTAATTAGAGTAATTTATAATTAAAATAAATTGAATGAAGAGAAAATATTAAAAATTATGTTTTAAAATCAATGAAAATTCTTTATAGTTATGTATATAGTACAGTCAATGACAACCAAATAAGGAGTTGGCGTTGGGCGGGACAAAAGTAGACACAGACTTATGTTTATTGTGAGAGTGAGTGTATGTGTTGCACGGCATATAGATAAGACAGTTAGAGTTGATCATCAGAGTTGATGAACGTGGCTGAAATTATTATTATAGAAGAAAATTTACTGAATTTTTTATTGAAAATATATCAAGTCGGTTCAACTGTAATTAAAAATGTCCTATGAAACGAGTAAGTTTTTTCATTAAATTTTATTTTTGGATTCATGTATTAAGTGTATGCCGCAAGGAAACCGTCATGTCAGTCATAGTCGATGAGTGCAACAGAGATAGACTTATGCAAAATGCATGTCTTCCTATGACTGACAGGAGAGTTTTCTTTGATATACATATAATATAGCCACGTAAATTTATTTTATGATTAATAAAGTCCTTTTTTAGAAAGGATAAATGTGTATTTTTTATTTATATTTGTTTATTATTTATTTTTTAAATCAATTTTTATAACCTATTTATATTTAAAATATGAATGATATTTAATAAATATAAACTATTTACTCGTAAGTTAGAAATTTTTTTATATTATTTAAAAGCATGTTAATATTATTTTATAATTCCAGAATACATTTTTGCTACTTTACCTCGGACTCAAAGAGGTCAACCTTTAGTTTTGGGTGGTGATCCAAAGGGTAAAAATTTTTTATACACCAATGGGAATAGTGTTATTATTAGAAATATTGATGTGAGTATCTTTAAAAAAAATAATTAAATAAAACAATGTTTTATTTTTTGCTAATAATATTTTATTTTAATGAATACAATTTTCGTAGAATCCAGCTGTTGCTGATATTTATACGGAACATTCTTGCCCTGTAAACGTTGCCAAATATTCTCCCAGTGGATTTTATATAGCTTCTGGAGGTGAGTGTATTATTACAATGATTCTAAATTACTTATTCTATTAATTTAAAATCCATTGAACTGAATTTATTTTGAAAAGCGAATATAATAAATAATAATGATTGAGTTTCTAAAATTTTTATTTATAATTTAGATCAATCTGGAAAAATTCGCATCTGGGATACTGTTAATAAAGAGCATATTTTAAAAAATGAATTTCAACCTATCAGTGGTCCGATAAAAGATATTGCTTGGTCGCAAGATAGTCAACGTTTGATTGTTGTCGGTGAAGGTAGAGAAAGGTAATTTTGATTTTTTTTAGATAAAAGACATAATTTTTTTCTGTTTTTAAAGCACTGCTTTAATTATTTTATTCTTAGATTCGGTCATGTATTTATGGCAGAAACTGGAACATCTGTGGGTGAAATATCAGGGCAAAGCAAATCGATTAATTCTTGTGATTTTCGACCAACAAGACCATTTAGACTGATTACTGGAAGTGAGGATAATACAATTGCAGTTTTCGAGGGTCCACCGTTTAAATTTAAGTAAGATTTACTTTTTAAATAAATACTTTCTTCTTTTTATTCAACTATAGTTATTGTAATAATAATTGTTTTTTTTCAATTTAGAATGACCAAACAAGATCACACTCGTTTCGTTCAGGCAGTACGTTATTCACCAACGGGAAATCTTTTTGCTTCCGCAGGATTTGATGGAAAAGTATTTATTTACGATGGTGTATCTTCGGAAATAATTGGCGAAGTTGGTTCACCAGCTCATCAAGGCGGAGTTTATGGAGTAAGAAAAATGAAAATTTCACTTTTGACAAAAGAAAAAAGAAATTAAACAAATCATTTTAATAGGTTGCATGGAAACCAGATGGTACACAATTATTGACAGCGTCCGGTGATAAAACATGTAAATTATGGGATGTTGAAACACGAACAATGATTTGTGAATTTAATATGGGATCGACAGTTGATGATCAACAAGTAAGAAAACAATTTTAGAATTAAATCATAAAAATGGTGATGGTAATAATTTTTTTACAGGTCAGTTGTTTGTGGCAAGGAACGAATTTATTAACAGTTTCTCTAAGTGGATTTATAAATTATCTTAACGTTGATGATCCCACGAAGCCATTGAAAATAATAAAAGGACACAATAAACCAATAACAGTGTTAGCATTAAGTCCCGATAGAACGTCAATTTATACTGGTTCTCATGATGGATTTATAACAAAATGGAATGCAATTAGTGGTGAAAATGATCGAATTGATGGTCAAGGACATGGAAATCAAATTAATGGAATGAAAGCAGCTGATAGTTATTTATATACAGCTGGGATTGACGATACCTTGCGAGTTGTTGATTTGGAAACAAATGTCTATATTGATTCAGCTGCATTAAAATTGGATTCACAACCACGTGGTCTTGATATACATGGAAATATTGTTGTTGTTGCATCTGTTAAGCAGGTACTATTCAGCAAATTAAAAAAAAAATAATTATTTCTCTAATATAAACACACAGCAAGTAATTTTTTACAGTTAACTGTTATTCAAGATAGAAAGAAAGTATCAACATGTTCTGTTAATTATGAACCGTCGTGTATTTCAATTAATCAAGAAAATGGAGAGGTTGCAGTTGGTTCGGCTTCCGATAATAAAGTTTACATTTATACGTTAGATGGAGTAAAACTTTCTCCCAAGACTGAATTGGAACATTTAGGTCCAGTAACAGACGTTGCCTATAGTCCTGATAATAAATATTTGGTTGCTTGCGATGCAAATAGAAAAGTGATTTTATATTCTCTTCCGGAATATAAGGTAAATTTTGAATTTCATTTAAATTTACTTTTTTTCATATTACTAACACGTTTTTTTGGTAAATTTCTAACTTGCTGGGTTTTTTCTATAGAAGGTAAGTGTCAACATGTAAAATTGATTTTTATTAATAAATTTAGTTAAAATGTGAATTATTTTATGTTTAGTTTGCACATAACCGAGAATGGGGTTTTCATAATGCGAGAGTTAATTCTGTCGCCTGGTCACCGGATTCAATTATGGTAGCAAGTGGTAGCCTTGATACGACTATCATAATTTGGAGTGTGACAAATCCAGCGAAACACACAATTATTAAAAGTATGTTTAGATTTTTTTTTAATTAGATTGCTAAATTAATATTTTTAACCATATTTTTCAGATGCACATCCGCAAAGTCAAATTACTCGTCTTGTTTGGTTAGACGAAGAAACTTTGATTTCTGTTGGTCAAGACTGCAATACAAAAATATGGCGTATAGAGAAGATTTAATTTTCTTTTTTCTTTTTAAATATTAAACCACAATGGTTTTTTTTATTACTTGTGGCATAACTAACTACAAATGCATTTTTATTTATTTATCATATAACTTTAGATTTATTGTATATTTTTTTGTAATACATTTCTCGATGATAAGACAAGTATTGTTTAACATTAACAATAATAAACAACTTTTTAAATTTCGTATTCCTTTTTTCTAATTTCAAAACATTTCATTTATCTCATTTCAAATGTGTATTTTCAAACGCAAGACGTACACAAAGACTTAAATTCTAAAATGTCTTTATTAAAACGATTTAACGATAACAAGAAAAACAATAAAATTCATTTAAACATTGAAAATTTTGACACACGCACACATTCTTCCTCTCTTTCTCTCTCTCTCTCATTCTATTCTTCGAAAACTAAATTATTTGTATAATTTTTTTTAATATACAACTTTGTTATATATGTATAAATAAAGTGAAAATTCGTATTATGATTTCGATGAATATCGAGAACGTTTTTGTGGTGATGTTACTGGATGTCTGTATGAAACATGTTTTCTGAGAGCATCACGTGAACGTGATACATGAGAACATGCTGCACAGCTATAGGAACTATTACTATGTGTTTCCATATGAACTCTTAAATTATATTGATTACTCAATTGTTTGCCACAAACTAAACATGTTACGCTTGTTTTATTACATGTTTGTGATTGTCTATTTGATAATGAGCCAGAGATAAATTTTAAATTTGTATCTAAAATTGGTAGTAATTTTGAATTATTATCTTCAATTATTGTATTATTTGACTCATCAACAATTGATGATGATTCATCATTAACATTTGTTGGATAATTAGTTTCAATTGTTGTTGTTTTTGTTTTTATAGGTGTTACACTTCCAATCACAGGCTTTCTTTCTCTTTGGTTTAATTTTGCATTTATCGAATAATAAGGTTGTGTTTTAACACTATAAGGCATACTATCTAAATCGTTTGATAATTCTTCATCTATACTGTCTACCGCATAATTATATGGTACCGATTCCAATTCTGAATTTAAGGTATTGTCTTTTATTTCTGTTTTTATTGCCGCATTATTTGTCACATCTTTATCTTGTGATGATGGATTTGATGAATCAACGATCATTCCGTTATCGTAGTTTGAATTTATCTAAAGTATAACATTTTTAATTAAATTTAATCACTTAAAAGAATGTAGTTAGTTTAAAAAAAATTAAAACAAGTAAATTTTGAGAAAAATTCTCAACTTTTTTTTTAATTGACAAAATCATCTCTCAAGCTGGTAAAAATTAATTAACAATTAATGTAAAGTTTATTTTAAAAAAATAATTTATGTACGTAGAACCATTCCACCATGAGAATAAAGGATCAGTACATTGTCAAACCAGCTTGAGGGATTTTTAGTTAAGTGGACAAAAAAAATTAATATCGTGGTTATGTTAAAGCTGGCGTGAATGAATCTGAGATAATTGTAAAAAAAAAATTCCCATTTCGTTTCGATCGTATTTTAAGTTTCAATTTAATTTAGAGAAAAAAAAATTGGAAATAACTCAAAATATTTTCTAAACTTTTTTGCTAACAACTATTAAAAATGTAAAATAAAAATCATGAATAATCTATATTTTATAAATATACCTGTAAATTCATTCTATGGGATAAAGTTCCATGGGATGCATCCACTTGCATTTAGTTGCAACACACACAACGATTCTTGATCTCGTGGATATCGTTTTTATTCATTATCGTTCCTTTGATGCACATTATTGATTATAAAATGCACTGGCTTAAATCCTGTGTGAAGTACTTCTTGAGGAACGACAGTGAATTGTATTTAAGTGACCTGAACAAAACAACACGATCATAGGGTGATAAAAAGAGATTAGAAAGGGTACAAGCAAATGTTTATTTGTTAGTTTTTTTCTTTTCGAAATTAATATAGGAATTAGGGACAACTGGATTGACTATGTAAAATCATGGGACCCATTAATTCTACTAATGGTGGTGATACTACATTCTACATTTTCTAAAAAAAATAAATAATTTAGAACCTAAATTAAAAATTAGAAAGGATAAATTGAATTTACACGCTTTAAACTTCAATTTAATATTTTAGCGTCTTTGGATAATTTCATAATCCCTCGTGCACTAAACACCTCAATCAAAATAAAAAAGGAACCTAATTTCATATGAAAATACTTTTAAGAAAGCAATAATAAATTTTAGACTCCTGTATGCTTAATTTAAAAGTATATCTTAAATCAGCATTAAGTGCCTTCATGCAATTTTAATATTTTTCTTGTAGTAAAATAAACAAATATGTTTAATAAAACCACTAATAATTTTAAAAAGAAATCTCAATTGCAAATTAAAAAATTTTATATTTAAAAAATTAATTTTGAATCTTTTTGCTCGTTACTCATTTCTTAAAATTTCAAATGAAACTATTTAAAAACTATCTCAAAAATTACTTTTATTTATTTATAATAAAGAACAAAAATTAATAGAATTTTATTATCACGATACCTGTTAATGATGACTTCTCAAGTTGTAATTCCTGCTCTCGCTAAAAATTTTAACTGAAAGAAGCATGTGAGAGGATATTTTCTGTATCGAATCTCAATTTTCTATACTCAAAATATTGATCGGAAAATTTATTTGTTAATCCAAGAATTTTTTCAATTTTTTAAATATTCAGAATATCGATTCAAAATCATGTTATATATCATGAATAATTTTAAATCAATTGAAATTTTAACTATGTACCGAATTTTTATATTGACTTTGATACTGATTAAATTTTTTCAAAAAAAATTTAATAGAGAAATTCCAAAAATTTACCGGAACCGAATTAGAATATATTTTTAAGAAACGAGTAACGATACTAAGATTAGAGTATAATTAAACGCAAATGAGTTTCAACAAAAAATTATATCGAGAATTTCGTTAGAAAATAAAAAAATACATCAGACAATGTTATAAATTAGAATTAATAAGTCATGCTAATAATAAAAAAGACGTACCCCAGCAATATCGGCTAATCCACGAATGTGTAAAGTGTCTGCCATTGCCAATAATGCTGGCAATTGTTCCTGATATATGTTTACTTCTCCATTATACATAAATGTGACTAATGCACATAAATTTGAATATTCCATGCCTGGTAAAACAATAACAGGATGCTGAGAAGCATTCAAGTCCTGAAATTTATGCAAAAAAAAAATATATATATATATATATAAACTAAGTTTAAATAAAAATATTGATTCCCCAAAATTTCAAATAAAAATACATTACTTTAAATAATTCTTTGAAGTAAAAACTACATGCTGAAAGAATTATCCTATGAGCATGAATGTGTCTGCCACCAGCACTTAAAGTGACGTCTGTAAGGTGACCTCCATCCAATAACTTTGGTAAAGAACTTAAAAGTGTGTTTTGGAAGTTGTGCCAGCGTAAGCAAAATTGTTGACCCTCCATACTTCCTGACAATATGTAAATTATACATTCTTAAAACATTTTACACAAGACATTTTTTTTTAATTATAAAATTAATTAATTAGAACAACATAATTAAAATAACTCTAATCTAAAAAATAAAACTAATTCATAATTATTTAAGTATAAACTTTCACAAGTTATATGTATATCACATATGTGATAAAAAATAAATTTACACTTTTATTTAAACATAAATCAAGCGTTATATTTTAAAAATTAACAATTAATACTGAAGAATTATTATCAATAAGGAAATAAATATTTGAAAATTGTTATTTGAAATTTTTATAAATCATTCTGAGTATGATGAATTTAAATAAAGGTTATGTATTTCAAGGTTTTTATAATAATAATAATAAAGCATTTTGTTGCTTCTGAAAATGGAAACAACTTACTTTTAACGAAAAAGATCACTTATTAAAGAACCAATGGGTCAACTGTTTGCGATCCAGCCAAATCTATTATTGTCCTGAGCCACGGCTGGAGGAACTTGGCATGCTATGTTTATCCCTTTCAAAATAAGTTGACAAATATTTTAAATCCTAATAATAATTATATACAAATAGAATCAATTATTTTTATTACTATAATTACCTTACCTTTTCTTAAGTAAGAAAATCTTCCTTCACTTTATATATCACGTAAAACTAACAAAATAGCGCCACTGTCGCGCTTAAAAGGTAGACATTTAAATTTTGACCTTGTTGAACATAAAAATATAGCTTTTTTTCAATTTAAATGTCATTGTCACACTCCACACTACAATAGCATTATTCAAAATACAACTTTAAAATATTATTTTAAACTTTATTTAGACAATATATTTTTTTAAACTTATTACAAATATAAAAGTACAACTGATGTTGAAGTGTTATGTACTAAGAACCATAAGGGTTTCACTATACAAAAGAAAAAGAAAGAAATGAAACAATTAAATAAGGATTGATCCATGTAAAATCGATTTCCACATATAGTATGTAGAACTTCTCTTGTTTCATTTCTTTGATTCACATTTCAGATGTTCTACTTTATAAATCTACCGTTACAGCAGGGTTGTGTAGGTACAACTTACTCAGTGTTTTAAGGTGAATTAACATGGAACCGTGAATTCAACTCAATTCTGAAACGAACTTACCCATCCGTTTATGTACTTACAAATTTTACTGCTTCATCATTTACTGGACGCAGATAATATACAAATAAAATATATAACTTAAAAATTAAACTCTTTCATAAAAATAAATTTTAATTTAAAAAATGGCAGATAAAACTGACAAATCAAAAGTTGACTTGGGACTGCTTGAAGAAGATGATGAGTTTGAAGAATTTCCAGCTGAAGGTAAACATTTCTTTTAAAAGTTTTTGTTTAAAAATTAAGGATATTCTTATTTAATATTATTAAAAATACTAATTTTTGTTAAATTAATACCTCGCGTATAAAAATAATTAAGATGAATGTCCTGAGAGACAACTTAAAAAAAAGAATATTATTTTATGTATTATCTTGAATCTAACCTTATTTTACTTGTTATAAAAAGTGTAAATATTTTCACAAATTTATATTAACGCTGATTTAATATTTTGCTGGTGTACTTATCATTGTTATAGATTCGAAATAATGTGTTATTTAATAATATTGTGTTTCTTGCTGATGTAGCACTTTGTGACTTAATTTTACGTTTCATCCCAAATATCGTTATTTTTATTTACAAAATAGATTATTAGTTTTAAAATATAGATACAAATGTTTGTTTTTATTTATCAAATGTCACAAGTATATTTTTCTTCAAAGAAATAGGATTTTTCCGAACACATTTAATTTTATTCGAAGGCAATTTCATTTGAAAAATTCAGTTCTCTTTAAAGCAACTCATTCTTTTGTTTAAATTAAATATCTCACTTTGATTTTTAAATATCTTATAGAATAATAATAATAATAATTACTAATTTTAATTATTTTACAGATTGGACTGCGAAGGACGAAGATAATAGTGATATTAGCGTGAGTGTATGGGAAGATAATTGGGATGATGACGATGTTGAAGACGACTTTAATCAACAATTGAGGTATTTAGTGTTTGTATCTCTAATTTTTTAAACATGTTAAAAAGTACATTAAGTCAGAATGAATCACTACGTTCCTGAAAATAATGATTTCTAATTGATTGGAGTCTGTGCTGTCGAATATTTAATTTCAAAATTAACTGTCATATTCGTTTTATTACAGAGCACAACTGGAAAAACAAAAAACGCAAGCTGAATTCTCAAAAGACGCTTAATTAAATATATAAGCCTACAGGAGAAAGGAAACTATTTAAATAGATTACAGTTTTTTTTTAAATAATGTATTTTCCTTTTAAAAAATTCTCATCATTTAAAAAAATAAATTAATTGTACATGTTTATAATTGAACTGGTAATATTTTTTTAACTTACAATTAAGTAAAAATATTATTATTCAAACGCTGTTGCTTCTTACTTAAAATTTTAAACATTCTTTTTTTAACAATTTTATTTTATAAAATTTTAAATCTTTGAATTAAATTAGTAATAGTTGATTGAATCATCCTAAAAAAGATTTAAGATCATCTTAAAATCACAAGAGTGTATAAAAATAAAATTAAAACATTAAACATCGGTTAGTCCTGGAATAAGTTAGTTTAAAAAAGTGCTAAAAATAAGAATTCAATTAATGGAATTCAATCGGAATGTCATCTCCACTAAATTTTGTGGAGTGGAATCTTGATAACAAACATAAATTTCTTTTGTACGTGGATATGGTAGTATTCTTCCTACCACCCAATAACTCAAATTATTCCATACAAATAATGTTCCATATTCTTTGATTGATACCAAACTTTTGTTAATTACATTCTTTTCCCCATCTTGATTTACAATTTTTCTATATCTTAAAGTATTTTGTAAGAATGTATGCATCATTTGTACACATCTAGAAAATTTGCTAACTATTTCTGAATTTTTTATAACACATTTATCAAAAAATGATGATATTAAAATTCCTTCACATAGATCCAAATGTAAATAATGAAGTAAATAATTTCCATCTCCTACAGTTAATATGTGAGGAGAAATATATTCTGCTTCACATAAAAGACTCTCTCGAATATTGGCAATATCCATGTTATTTCCTTGTTTCTCATTCTAAAGAAAAGAAAAAAATTGCATTTTATTTTTCAAGTATTAATGAAATCATATACATATTTAAAAATAAAATGTACCTTATATGCATCCACATCTGAGTCACTATCTTCAGAATATTTTAAAGCAAAGTTTATTTTTTCTCTAATTGCTCGACGACCTAGAATAGGAGCTGCTTCATCGCTCATTTCACTAACAACTCCTGTTCCTTGGCTTTGAGAATCATCCGATGCTTGTAGTGAATATACTTAACAAGAAAAATTGTTTATTAAATTCGTTTATGTTAGAAATTCATTTACAAAAATGACCATTAATTGTATTAGTTGAAGTAATTCTATGATTTACAAAAAGAAAACAATTTATTTCCTACAGCTTAGAAATTGTTTAAATTAATAATTCTTTAATAGTTACCTGACCCAGAAGCCATAGTATTATCTTCATTATTGTGCTGTTTTGTAGAAAGTACTTCTTGTATTTTTTTACATGATGAATTAGAATTAGTTTTATCAGAAAAACTTTGCATTTCAGAAGATTTAATAAATCCAAAGAGATTCTCTGCAATACTTGTGGATGATCTTAAAGAAGTTTGTTCTTTATTTAATTCGTCCACCATAGTGTTAACCAAAATCCATTTGGCAGCCAATGTTGGTATACCAATTTTTTGAATGTGTTGTAAAGTCTCTTGAGCTTCTTCCACATAAAATGGATTAGGACCAACGTTTTCTTCAATTCTACGCAATTTAAATAATTATTACTTAAGTAAAAAAATGTATAGCTTGAGGTTTATAAATAAATTGAATTTACTTTGCAGTACATCCTCCAGATTCAAAAATAACTGCTAATAAATCATGTTTGAATCCAACAATGAGTAAATAACACTGACTTTGAGGAAAGGTAGTGTTATTCACAAATTCTTCTGTTGGTAGGGAAGGATGAACTTTTTTCCATATTATTAATGCTTTTAATGACTCATTTGTGACTAAGTTTAGTAGTCCATATTGTCGTAGGAAAGAATTTACTTTAATTAAATTATTGTCAGGTAAATGAGATCCAATTAAATAACTTTTATGATACAAGCAACTACCAATGATTGTATACAAACGCTGACAATTCATTGGATCTTCATTCTGCAACAAAAAAAAAGTACATAGTATGTTTTCAATCGAATTATAATTTTAACTATAAAATAATTACGTTCGACGTTATTTCTTACCCAATCTCGATAATCCATAGCTTCCATTTCATTTAAAGCAGAGTCTATTTGTATATGTGCTTCTTTCGGCAAACGAATTAATTGAGCGCACGGTAAAATAGTTGAAAAGTTTTGTGTTTCCGCTGTATCATTTACCACATCAGAAGAAGACTTTTTTAATTGAATTCGTTGACAAATAAGAAAAAGTAAATGATCCAATGATGAGTGATTATCTACAGAAGTAAAACATTGGGTCAAATTCCCATATGTAAATTCAAGCATTCGAACAATGTCGGTAGTCAATTCGACAGCTTGATGTTCGTTGCAACTGAAATCAATAAATTAAAAAATAAATAGTAAATATAATATCTTTGAAATGCTTTGCATCTCTTTATATAAACATACCAACTGTTTGGTAAGGATATTAAAAGTAAATAATCCTCTCGAGTAGTGTATGAAATATACACTTTTTGTTTTTTACAAAGTATAGTGGAACTGAAATAAAAATAGGATAAATTAAAAAATTAAATTGAAAATAGGAATTGTATTAATGAATCAGATTACCTTATTAAACGAGGTCCTAATATGTCAGTTATCATATGATTTAATGTAACGAAAGCTCCTCTCGTTACAGAAAGTAATGTTTCTTGTGTCATATCTTCTATTTTAGGAAAAGCATATATGATATCCTGCGATTCAGGTACAACTTCAGCAAGATTTGTAGCTTTTACAAACATGATTCCAATAGAATCTTTGGATATATTATCCATGTATAATTTACACTTACTTTGATCGACAATTTGTTTCACTAATATAGATTGCTGAAAAGCAGAACAAATTTTATAGTTGGCAATTCTAATTTTATTAAATATTTTAATAGTGCCATTTAAAAGAAATGAGATTGAAAATTTAATAAAAAATTATAACTAATTTAAATATTATTTAATTTTTCAAAATTCTTACATTTGGAGAATTCATAGTTGGTAAATTTTCTGTTTTATTGATTGTGATTCGCTGGAATTCCAGTAGTACCTATAATTAAAATAATTTCAAATAAAATTTGTTTCTTTACATATTTAGATCATCCTAATAGGTAGGTAAATATTACTTACATCAGTAGAAGAAACCATATTCGAAAGAATACTGTTCAAATTTTCAAAAGTAACATTTGTAGAATTGATACGACACAAATAATCACCTTCCTTGATACATTGTGATTTTAAAGCTTCTCCATGTGGAACAAAACCAGTAACAACAACTTTTGTACCATCTGTTGAAATTCCAGGTATTATACCCAAATAAGCTTCGCATTTAGAAGCTCTTCTTCCTAAATTTTGTTTCTTTTCTAGATCTATAGTTAATGAAACTTCATAAGTCTTATTTCTCTATAAAAAAAGTATAAAATTATTACAGTTATGTTCATTTATTTTAAATTAATTTTCTTCTTGTACAATAGAGACTTACCAAAAAGTTTTTTACACAAGAATTTTTACTTTTATTTGAAGTTTTTTCAGTATTTAATGAAGTATTTTGAAGTGTTTTATTACGAGTACTACATCGAATACTTTCACGTTGTTTAATAAAACGTGTAAACTTTCCAGTCGTACTTTTCCGTCTGACGAACTGAGATGATTTAAACTGGTTTTCATTTTCTGATAATTTTTCATTGACAACAATAAAATCTGGATACGATTCAATATAGAATACTTCACCGGATGCATTAATTTCTGCTTCCCAATCAGCAATAGAACTACATGGACATATAAGAGAGTTATATTTTAACGATACTATTTTGAGATATTACTAAATAATTAATATTAACCTGTCAGAATCAGAACTGTAAGATCCTGTGCTTGAAGTACTTTCACTAGCCCACCAAATATTTTCATCATCCTCACATTTTCTATCAGCATTATTAGATAATTCTGTCCCTTGTTTTGTTTCTATGTTTAATAACATTTTTGTATCTATTTCATTCATTTTAACTATATGTTCTAGATGTTAATAAGGATTCGTTTAGCAACTGAAAATAAATGCATGTTCAGGATTTTTTTTGTATAAAATTTTTTTTATTATACAAAAAAACTATTTTTGAATAATTATATTATTTCGCTTCTGAACTTGTAAAATGTAAATTTTCCTTTTTAAATTAAGAATAATTTGTTCTTTATAACTTTTAAAAAATTTTAAGTTTGTTTTGAACTGACAAGTGGTTGTTGTTGTTATAAATAAAAGATGGATAGGTATTGGTTAATAAAAAGTTTTTACTTCAAGGTCAAAGTTGTCAGGGTATGGAAGCAACTGACTGCGCGTCACCTTTAGTAATGGAATGTGCGAAATACAATTTTTTTTGTCCTTCATTCCAATCATAATATAAAATTTTTATTATATTAATAATTAATCAACATAATATTTATATTTATACTTCATACATACCAATGTATTTTTTCAGAAATATTAAAAATCTTATTTTAAATTCTCCGCCAAAAAATCGTAGTAAGGTGTGTAAGACCCTTTACAATGGGAGTGACTCAACCTTGTCATTTCAGCAGTACTTTATTTGCTTTATTGTAGAAATTACCTTTATATTGTTATGATCATGGTCGATTATTATAATCCATTCTTGTCTACAGTAATTAATTGTACATTAAAAGGTAGATAAAGAAAAGGAAGAAGAATTGGAAATTCCTGGTTATTTGCATATATATTTATATATAGTAAAATTTTGTATTGACCGTATGATACATCAAAAGACAAAGTAAAAAGAAGAAGAAGAAGAAGAAGAATAAAGTTATAATCTGTCAAAAAGTGTCTGATTTTAAAATGTGTGATGATTCTGATGCACAAATGTATATTTACGAAATGCCATATTTCATTCGTATGGAATTGTGTAAAATCTTAAATCAAAATGACAAATGGGAAGAATTAGCAGGTAAGTAAAGGATGGGTATATAAATAATTTGTCCTCATTATTACCAAATTTAAATTTATATACTTGTTTTTTAGGAAAAGGAATGCAATTTGAATTTGACATTATCAATAGACTTCGAAAAGATTCTAATCCTACAAATGAGTTGCTAACTAAGTGGAGTCAATACAATCACACAATATTAGAACTCTTTAGTCTTTTATCAAATATGCATCATTATCAAGCAATGAATATTTTAAGGTCATTGGTAGATCCGCAATATCATGTTCTTATTGATAAAGGAGAAGGAAATATGTTAAGATTACGCAAAGAAAAAAAGACTAAAGAGAAGAATATAAGTATTGATACAAAAAATTTCAATCAAGCTTCTCCAACTCAAAATATTCAAAAAGTAATCTTAAAAAAGACAGAAAATGAACAATGGCGTGAAATAATAAATCAACTTGAAAAATGTGGGAGTCCAACTCTTCCTCAAAGTTATTCGAATAATCTTTTACATGAATCTCCAGTAGATAATAATTTACCTCTAGCAATGTTTGACGAACTTTCACTTGCCACTAATGATTGGAATAAAACGAATATTTTGGGAAAAGGTGGCTTTGGAACAGTTTATAGAGGTATTATTTTATATATTTATTTAGACATGAAACATGTAAATGAGAAAAACAAAAAACCATCGAATACTCTTATTCTACTACCTTCATTACATTTAATTAATTAAAATTGTAGGAAAATGGAAAAATACTAAAGTTGCAATAAAAAAAATAGAACGTCGCAGTGGGAAGTCTGACGAGAGCTACGCTACACAACTTCAACAATCTTTGAGGGAAATAAAAATTTTAAACTCACATCCTCACGATAATATTTTGGCTTTATATGCTTATAGTTTAAACGGAGAAGCACCGTGTCTTGTATATCAACTTATGCCGAATGGATCTTTAGAGGATATATTATTACAAAAACATAAAAAGGAACCACTCTCTTGTGAACAACGATATAATATTGCTATTGGAACCGCGAGAGGTTTGCAATATTTACACACTATTGGAGATAAACCTTTAATTCATGGAGATATCAAGAGTGCAAACATTTTATTGGATAAATATTTTGAGCCAAAAATTGGAGATTTTGGTTTAGCAAGAGAAGGACCAGAAGAAAATTCAATCAAAGTATTTCATAAATATTAATGAAGTATTATTAAATTTCAATACAAGAAAAGTGCGGGTGCTTTTCGGAACTGCATAACATTCATAATATATAAATTGTAATTTAAATATTTTTAGGTGAGTAAAATTTTTGGAACCAGACCATACCTTCCTGAAGATTTCATTTCCAGTAGAAATCTATCAACAAAAATTGATACCTACAGTTTTGGAATAGTAATTTTTGAACTGGCAACTGGATTGCCAGCCTATGACCACAGTAGATCAAAGTGCAAATTTTTGAAGGAGTTAATGGATAAATGGGAAGATAAAGAATATGACATTTTAGTGGATAAAAAGGCAGGATTTAATCAGGTAACTTTTACTTATTTGGTAACATTGGGGAAGTGGTGTGCAAATAAACTCGCACAAAATAGACCTGAAATGGAACAAGTTTATAAAAATTTAAGTGATACTAAAAATCGATTTTTTAACTCGTCAACAGAGATCTTCTAAGTATAAATAATTATAGTAGGACAGGTTATAATTTCGTTTAAATGATTCATTGTTATTTAATGTTAAGTTGTTTGAAAGAGATCCATTTGTTAATAATTGTAAGTAGCTTCGTCGCTTTCCTATCGGTTCATTATTTTCTTTCTTATTTTAATAAGTTAGAAAATAATTAATTTGTTGTTTTTAATGAATTGGTTATTTAAAAATAGTAATTTCTTTTTTTCAATCTATTTTTAAATTCATTAATAAATCATGATTTTAAATCAAACTATTATTTGATTAATATTTTAAATACTGTTTTATGATAAAAAATATTTATATATTATGTTTAAACTGACAACCAAAATGTAATGTACGAATTTTCAAATTACATGGGAGACATTTTGTTACTATTGATTGAAATAAAAATATTTTTTCTAATATTAAATATTGAAACATACCTATATTAAAGCATAAAAGTATTTATATTTATACTTTTAGTTAAATTTATTCTACTTTTTTAAAGAAAGTTTAATTTTTCTGTTGTGCAATTGAACAATAAAAAGTTTGTGCTTTTATCAGGTAAGTATTAATAATTTTTACTATTATTCTACATTCTTCTATAAACAATACCCTGACGAAAGTTTTAAAATAATTTAATATCTTATTAAACATCAATCCAAAACTAGTTTTTTGTAACTGAATCATAATCAGTTTTTTTGAATTTCTTTTTGTAATGGGTGTATGTTATAAATTGTTAAACATAATGTACTTGTGAAAACTTTATTTATTATTAAAAGTTAAGAACATTTTTCAATTATTTGATAAAAAATTAAAAATCTACTGTTTTTTAGCAACTAAAAACTATGTTTTTTTTAAGTTACAACTTTTGACAGACAATGTTGTGTATTTAATCAATGTTTATATCTCTAACGATTTCTTTATTTACACCAAATAAACATAATAAAAACTATTCTAAATTTCATATTGTATCTGACTGACACAACGAATTGCTCGGTTCGCGCTTCTATTTACAAAAGTACTTTCATTTACTAAGATTGAGCAAGACAATTGTGAAATTAACAATACGCACAGGTACACGCACTCTCAAACGCAAAGAACAAAAAAAGTTTATTGATTATTATTAAGCATTATACGAAGATATCTGTTCTTGATGTGATTTTCTTGATTGCAGGTAGAATTTTTATACCTGTATATTGACCGTAGCCTAAAGGAATTCTTAGATCACAACTATCTCTTCTACCACTTTCTTCTTCTTGTTGTTGATTTAACACCCAAAGAGTACCAGCCATTGATAAAGATATGAGGCCGGCTCCGGAAATTACCAAAATGCAAATGAAGGCCGTCATTATTTTTGGACCAATAATTGTTGAAAATTTGATTATCCACAGCAAGTCGCTTGGTAATTGAGGTATGAGCTGAAAAATTTATATTATATTTTTCTTTAGTGAATTACTCTAATAGTCTAAATGATTTTTTTAATAAGTAGAAATTGAATATTCCCCAAATTAGACATGTCGGGAATTTTTTTTTTATTTCAAATAAAAAATTATCGAATTCTTAGCTTCAATATTATACCAGTTCAGTCCAAATAAGTGGCACAGTTAAACCATTGAATGCGGACATTTTCGGATTATGAGGCGACTCATACATAACAAGATTTATTTGAATTCTAGATTGAACTCTCATAGGTATTCCAATATCCTGTCGAAAAAAATTGATTTTTATTTAAGTAATTAAAAGGTATATTTTGAATAAATACCTGAAACATTTATTTATATATTTATTCCTCTAATTTATTTTTAAAATACTTTTTTAATTAATTAAAAATTAATCTTTCTGAAAGCAACTTCCACTTTTTATGATCCGATTGAAATTAATTAGTTCGTATTCGCAGTATGTATTTCAAAGTTTAGAACATTTTTAGAAAACTATTTTCAATTAATTCAAGGCTATATTTGAAAATCCATTCGTTTAAATGATAAGAAAAATATTTAACTGTGTTGTGCATAGAAATGTGATCAAAAATAATATCCATGTACTTGTTGCAAACAGGTATTTATTTTTATAATATTTTTTCAAATGAAAATTAACATAAGCAAATAAGAAACTCACCGGTTGCACATAAATTATGGTCTCATGTTTTTTTCGATCTGCCTTAAGACCTTGAATTCCCTTCGTTAAACTGGGGTCAGCGTCCAAAAAATGGGGATATGATACTGCAGTAGGAATCTCTGAAAATAGAAGAAAAAGTTTATTATTGCTATATGTAATAAAACTTTCTATAGCTTATAAGTTATCGTAAAGAAATTTTAAAATATATTTTTTTTTGTTAATTTCAGAGATTAAATTTTTTTAAATTTTCAAGTACTCTGAATTTAATGTCGTTAGCCATTTTTTAAAGTTAGGTCAAATTTTGATCAATAAATTGAAACTTAGTTGCGATTTCTTTTTTTTATTTTGAGCAGTTCGCTACGTAATATGTTATTATATTGAATACATAATATTTATTACTGTCATAGAAAAATTACGTGAGTGAAACACATGTAAATTGCAACATTGATATTTTCCTTTCGCTTTGGATGCTTATCCTTAACTTATGCTCACCTATAATACATTTCTATGAAGATAAAATGACACGTAAAAACTAAGGCATAATCACTTAATAAATATACATTGGCAGCAACTAATACTTAACACCAATATCTTTCGTAAGTTATCCCTATTATGTTATTTCATGGTCGAAAGAACCTACTATTCCACTGCCCTATGAGTATTCAGTGTCAATGACTTTGAAATAGATTCATACATATAATTTATCTATCTAGTGTGGATTTTTTTTCTATATAATTTCAGAAAAATATTAAATTAAATGAAAACTTACTGTAGTAACATGGCGTTATTTCTGAAAGTCCCTTTTTTAAACATTTAGTGTTCTTTTTACAAAAACATTGATTTTCTGGATTCATATCTGGTGGATCAAAAGAATTCTCCGCTAATCCATACCGATAGGCAGCGATTCCTTCATGTAATACCGATTCCTCTTGGAAAACAATTGGAAGAGCTCTGCAAAAAGATTTTCTGTAGACTCTAAATACAGCATGCTTATCCAAATGATTAGGCAATAAAGTTCCTTCAGTTGCTCCTTTAATTGTATTGCAGGTCGTATCTCTGCAAAAAAATATTACTTTAATTTCTCAAATATTTCACTATTTTATTAATTATTATAAAAAGAAATTGATAACTCACTCTTCAGGGGTTTCATTTCCTTTTTGTTTTACGTATCCCCATTGAGATAATCCTGGACTTCCATTGTAAGTCTCGATACTTAGATAGCGTCCATTTTCATCAGTCATATTCTTATTGTGTTTTACATTCATAATTACAATATTGTCTCCTTCATCATACATCTAATAAAAACATATTTTCAATTATTTATTCTGGATGTTGGATGGAAAATTCCATGAAAGTAAATTCTTTATTTACCCTATCCAGCAAACCAAATTTCTGAAAATTTATAAAGCCTGGTACAATGTTGCCTGCCAATTTCACTATTGGATCATGATAGCCCCATAAATAATCATAGACGGACATGTTGAGAATTGGTTTTGCACCCATTGCATTTACAAATTGAGTCAGAGGGAAATTCACCAGAAAGCCTTTGTCGTGAAGTGCTGAAGTAACTCCCTATAAAATATATTTTATCCCTATATCATTATATTTGTAAAAATAATAGTAAAATATTTAAATTTTACTTTTTACATTTTAAACTTACCAACACTGGTACATTTGGTACTGTGACAATGTCTTTCCAAGGATCTCCCACCGACATTTCTGGGACATAAAGTATATTCCTCTTTGGAGAATACGTCATTGTTCCATTATCGTTAAATATTATATTTTTGTGTTCCAATATTTCTCTGAAAATTAAAATTATTATTTATTTACACTACAACTTATTATTTGACAAAAAATAAAAAAGGTTAAACTTACTGATAAACGTATGGTCCAATTTCTTCAACTTTCAGTTGTTCTTTCCCACTTAAAAATTCTTTAGGATTAGTAATGTTAAAGACATAAACTTTTAGAAAAACATCAATAGGTGGTTTCCTCCATATTCCAAACGCTAGTGTCCCAGGTGCCATTCTCAAATGCTAAAAAAAAATTTAGAACTGAAGATTTAGTCGTCAGTCAGAATTTTTTTTTAAGGGTGTTAAACGGTCTGAATTTTGTTGTTCCAGATTACAGAATTTCCAAAGATATAAAAAATGATTATTAATAAATAATATATGAATTAAATAATTTTTAAAACAGTATATAAACTTACGTAGTCCAGAATTAATTTCGCAGGATTTATTACATACAAGACACATGCTAATCCACTGCATAAAATGCCCGCCATGAATAAAAGCATACATTCTGAAACAGTTTTAAATAAGTAATTGTTATTTTTTTAATTTGAATCACTTAAAATGATGTTGAGTAAGAATATTCCACTAAATTAAAATTCGGTTATGGGATTTTATTTAAAAAGTAATTTAAATAAAGTTTAGTGCAAATTTTAGTAATTTTTATTTAAGATTATAAGTGCGTAGATTGCGTAGGTTTTACAACACATATTTCTATTTATTTTCTTTTTTTTTAATATGTGCTTTATAGTTTTTTATCTGTGATCGTCAATGAACCATTAATATTAGACAATTATTTTTTCAAGACAAGTCTGTTCGTTGATGAAAAAAAATAAATATAAAATTTGTATATATAATGAGGGGTTTTTTCTTCATTTTGTAATTGCTATTTAAAGTTTAACCTTTCGATGACATGGGTTAATATTAAGGAAAACTATCTGCTTTAGTACACAGCCTTTTTTTACATAATGTAAATTTGAAGTGGTAATTTAGAAAATTTAAATTTTTCCAAAATCAAAATTCCCTTAGAACTTATGGATATTTGTTTTTAAAAATTTTAACTGAAAATTATTATATTTTTGAAAAATCGTATAAACGTTTTCATGTTTATACCATTTTATAGGAAAAAACTTTTCATAAATAAAAAATATTTACGTCAGCATATAAACACGTAGACTGAGGTTAATGATAATAAATTTGTTTTTACGCTAAAAAATATGCATTAATTGTTTACGAATTCTATAAACTGTGGAAGTAATTGTTATTTTTAATATATTCTCGTCACGTCATTAAAAAACCCCACTAAAAAAATAATGAACAATCACAATCAACCATAAGATATTCTGATGATTTCTCAGTACTTTAATAGTTTATGATTCTGATGATCACGCACGTTTGCTGTGACAGTGAATTTTTTTCATCAAACATTCATTCTTTTCAGTGTTGTTAGAAAATTAAATTATTAATTAACGATGAATATTTTTCGTTAATTTAATATATTTCTGATGTTTCGTATTTGCATCATATTTAAATATAACTCCTCGCAATTTTTCATCAGGAAGAGAAAGTAGAGCAGTTATCTTGTTTTCTGTAAAAATCAAATGACAGCATCATTGACCTGTCGAAAATCAGCTTAAAAATCTAAAGACGTAGCTATCCTTGACTCAATTTCTGCCTTAGTGTAACAATAAAAGGTAAATCAAGAATTATTAAAATTTTCAGTTTTGAGATTGTTTATGAATTTTATTTTACATATATAATTAGATTTTTGATAAAACTTTCAAAAAAAATTGATAATCGTCACATAGGAACTTTTTTTAATTTTTCCGAGTTAAATGGAATAACAATATAGGTGTGTTAATGAATTAGTCAACTGTAGCAATTTAGTTTTATGCTTTTATGTAAAAAGAAAAACAACAGGGAAAAACCGCTCATATCTTTCTTTATAAAAAAACAACACTTTCCTACGTGTAAACTATTTACAATTTATGACAGGGAATTTAGTAATAAATAATATTTAACAAGCTAATGAAATATATACATACTTGTAAGATCTTTATCTGTGATCTTTATCTATCAATAATAATAATTCTTAGAAGTTCATTAATATTGATTTAAATTTAATAAATTCATGCAAACATGTTATTAAATTTGATTAATGACAATGCAAATGTATCATTTAACAGGAATTCTGAATGAAAAATTTGCCTTTTGTTTACGTACTTTCCTTTTGCGTGCAACCAACTAAAAAAACTAAAAAGTGAATTTTACATTATTGTTGTATGAAAATGTTTTTGTATCCAAAGAAGTGATGAGCAATTTTATTCGCTTTAATTTTTAGATTTTATTTTTTATAAACTAGGTCGCGAATTACGCGAAATTAGTTGACGGGAAATTTTTTTTAATATTAAAAACTGCTTTTTCTGGATTCATAAATAGTTCAATGATCGGAAGGTTTTATGGCCTTCACAGTTTTTTTTTGTGCCTTGCAGCAGGGGGTGAAAAAGGTAACGATTGCCTCCGTTTTCCTCATTAAAACTCAGATATAGGTGTGGTGGAAGGTTAACTTCTTCACCAGTGTTTTTAGACACATTTTATGTGTCCATTCACGCTTCATATTACAGGTTTCTTTCCTTATAATGACGATAGTACTTGCCAAATGCGGATGTCCTAAAAGACTTACAATTTTACAGGTCCAAGTGTATTCAACACTCGAACAATGTATAATAATAATTTCTATTTTTTCAACTTTGCCGTAAATTATAATCTGTTTTTCTGTTTTTTTTTTTAAATCTACTTTTTTTGGTTTTAAAGTTCAAAAACCGTAATTTGTTATTATTTTAAGTTCAAGAGTTAAGAGTTCAAGTTTAGAGGAAATGGAATAAGATTCTCAATTTATTTTCAGTTTAAAGTCTATTAAAACTGGTTTTAGAATTGCAGATAATTTTCCAGAGTTAATTTCCATCATTAATCAGAATTAGATTTTATAATGTAGAGTAAGTTTTTTACGCACGGAGAAACTTTTAATGACAATAATTCCTTTATTAAATTTCGATGAAAATAAAACATGAATTTAAGTATAATCGAGGTACGATGATAATATGTATAGTTTCTATTTATAATAAAAGATAGTGTTATATTTTTGTCTACTATTATAATTTATGGGCACAAATGTTAATATTAATTTAGAAAGAATATTATTTGCTGTTAGAAAACGTAAATGCGAAAATGTATTATTTGTTTATAATTCATTTTGATATTTTTATTTATAAACATTGTATTTCAAATACCATAAATTGTAATAAAATATAAGAAATTGCATTCTGAGGTTATCAGTTTAAAGTAATTTAATTATGAAAAAAACAGAAAATAAATATTACATTAGTCATCTATTGGGTTAATTAAATCAAGTTCAACACATAAATTATCTTTCAATTTAATATATTGGATGATTCTAAAAAAATTGAGCTTATATTTCGCGATGTCAAAAATATATTATTTATTTAATTTCATTTTAATTCTGTTTCGTTGCTTTGAAACGCATCTTTTGTCCCTTTAGCTTTGACTTTTTAGAAATCAATTTTTTTTTCATTTTTCTTTCCCAGTGTTATTTTTTACAATACTGAGAGTATTAATACTGTATGTTTTAAAAATATTTGACCCTGGAAAAAAATTGTAATAATTAAATAGAAAAAGTCGACATAAAACAAGACAAACTGCAATTGTCAGATAATTTAATTCCTCGTATAATTTTTCTATTCATGACATATGAATAAAAATTTTTTATTCTATTTTGTTGAAAGCTTCTATCACAATTAGAGGAGTTGAGACTTTTCTTCTCCTTAAAATTTAATTTGTAGACAATTATTTTTATTTTTTTTTAAACAAATTATCTGTAAGTTTAAAGTATTGTATAGATATTAACGTAAGTTGTTGATTTTTTTCAGATTTTTATCACCATTTCTTCTATAATGTGTATAATTTGAAGAGTTACAGTTCACTATAGTAATACACACAAAATACCGTTTTTTATTAAACATTTTTTTTAGTTATGTATCATTATTAGGAATTATACGCAGAATTAAATTCTCTATCCGATGAAATAATTGAATTAATAAATTTAAAAATATCCGTCTGGAAATAATTCAACTTTAATTGAGTGCAATAAAAAAAATATTATTATTTTGTGCAAAAAAGTGATATAAAAATGATCATAAACCTCAGAGCTTATAAGTATCAATATATATATATATATATAATAATTATAGGCTTCAGTAGCGTTTAATAAAAACGCAAGTTGTTTTATCAATCAGTAGTTTCGTTAATCATCAATATACATATACATATATAATTATGAGAAGATTCTTCTCAATTATATGTACCCGGTGTGTTATTTCTTTAATATAAAAAAAACTTGAAGTTTAAAATAAAAATATTTTTATAACCAATATATCAAGTTTTTATCAAATTTTTACGAGTACAAAATAATTAGAATTAAATCTTAATTCTGACAAATTATTATCAGTTTAATTTGGATAAATTATGTCTTTCTTTTTAAAACTATAATTATAACTGTTTGTCTTGCTTTTAAATTATAATTGATAAACAACAATCGACTGACAATGACATTTAAAACAATGACGCGGTGACATTTGTGATAAGATGAGATTTAAACAATTTTTTTTTGACATTGATTGCTTCATATTTCCTGTTTTTTTTTGACAAAGAAAATGAAATTCTCATTCACTGAGTTTATATCTAATACATAATACATTAAGTGGATTCTTTTTTGTTTATTTTCATTTATGATTTTAATTATTAATGAACATAACTAATTTTTTTCTGTAGTATGTCTAAATGATGATTCTAAAAAATTGTATTGCAATTGGTATAACTTTCCAGAATCGTGATTCAAACTATGATTCAGTGTGCATTATCATACCGAATCATGGGGGGTGAGAAAAAAAATGAAAGAGCTTTAAAATCCTCGGCAGACCATAGTGATAGATTTAATTAGTGTTTATTAAAGTTATTTAAAATATTTAATTCTTTTTTTTGTAAAGAAAAGAAATAAGGCTAAAAACAAATCAAATTATGTAGAAAGCTGTTCTCTGAAAAATTATATATCTCATTTTATAACTTAAACTTACTTTTAAATTGTTGTAGTTGAACCGATGATTTCATGATTTTGAATTGGCTCCTTCAATATATGCTGTACTTTTTTTCCCAATACATTGACTCCAAAACTCTGCAATTAAAGTATAATTTAATTAGAAAACATTTCGTGTAAACATATAAAAAGTATCTGCTGTTAAAATAAGTTAGAGCGCATTATCACTAAGAATTATATAATAAACATTGAATAGTTCATAATGTTATATAACTTTATTATTTATGATATTACCATATGGATCATTCCATATGGTTTTTTACGAGGTATAAAGGAAAGTCGCCGTCCCTGTTTGTTACGCAATACTACCATTACACCATTACACGCAGTTTTTCAGAACTTTTGCAGAAAAATTTCAAAAAATTGTAGAAATGCAAATTTCGGGTATGAAAAATTCTAATTAATAATTCGATTTTCATGGTATGTAAAAAATTGGGGGAAAATAATTATACAAAAAAATTTCCTAAAATTTTTCCCGCAAAGTAGTTCGGAAAATATCTGTTTTATATTAAAATGTCCTTATGTGAGGAAATATTGAATTCAAAGTTTAAGCAAATATGGAATCGATAATCAATTAAAAATAAAATATTAAATTAATATATCTCTCCATCGGCTGCTTTCATGTTCTGCGAGGAATCATCTTTTTGCATATAATGACGTCTCACAAGTGTCAAGCAAATATTATATGTGTTACTTGTTAGTTGGGTTACCAAATAATGGAAACAGTGTGGTAAAGTTTATTAAAAAAAAGTTTTAATAATGAGGTAATCTGTTGAACACAAAACACCCATATGAACCATATTTCCTTTGATTTTATTAAGTGATTTTTCTATGCATAAAGAATACAAAGATATAATAGAAAAATTAAAATTTTCTTTTGATATTATTTTTCTAATAAAGAATAACATCTGAAAAGAGATGTGAATATTGAGAAAATGGATATAATTTTTAAAAACCAATTTATCGTGAACATTATTTACAATTTTGAATAATGTAGAATCATTAATTTAGAAAACGCACCCTCCTGTAAGTGGTCATTGACATTAAACAACAGTCTTGTATATTTTGGTGTTCACTATAAATTATGAAAAAGGAAAAATACATAAAATGTCGATAATAAATTATCAACTCCCGCCGGCTTCTTTTATCTTAAAGGGAATCTCTTTTTCATGCATAATTATAATTACAAGGGCTTGACAAATAATAAATGTTTCAGCTGAAAGCTCTGATTCGTTACCAAACGTCACGGTAAAATTTATTAAAAGAGATACAAGTTCACTGACAGAGTGTATATCTAGTTTATAATATATAATGTCTCAATAAAAACGACTTGAATCAAGACATATTAAAATTAATATATCAAAGTTTCAGACAAAATAAAAGTTGGATATGTTTTAATTATTAAACTTCTGAGAAGGTCAAATTTAAAAATAAATTCCATTATGTCAGTATTTTGTTTTAATGAAGAAGCGAATAATAATATTTTTAATATCTCAATTTATAAGCGTATTTCATATGCAATTATTTTATATGAATTTTATTCAATTATTATTGACAAAGAATTAAAAAAAAGTTCAGAGACTACATCTTAGAGTATTATTATATTTTTTATTATTTTACTCAACTTTAAATAAATATGTGGATATCGCTCCCCCCCAGACCAAAAAGATTTCCTTGGATATCTCACGAATAATTTTCATATTATGAAATCTCCCAAGCCACCAGAAATCCTGAATATCCGGATGCTGTTAGGATTACATTTTTTCAGATATTTAACCGAATTCACATTTTTTTTAAATCCTGTATATGTAATAATTTATTAAGCGCATATTGTGATCTAATAACATCAGGAAAGATATCAACTTTAAAATTTAATTTAAATCAAAAAGAGATAAAATTCATTTTCTGAATTAAACTTCGAGTCAATTAATATGATAATTGTTTCATAATAAACTCTCTCTATCTCTTTCTTTTTCCTTCTCTCAACTAGTATTTATCTTAATCTATAAACAATTAGTATTCTCTTATCAACAAGAAATATAATAAGAAACAATATTTATGAAAAGATATTTAACTATGTGTTTAATTTTACCAATTTATAAAAACTGCTTCATTAAATAATATAATGTATGATTTTTGCTTCTTTGTAAATTGCAGTTGAGTCTATTTCTGAAGATATAAAAATTGTTTTTCTTAACTGAAATATGTATATTTCTACTTGAAAAACAGATGTACATATGGATATTAACTTTTTTGTTACAAAATTAGTTTTTCTTGACTTGCGACCACCCTCTCATTTAAAAAATATAAGTGAAATTTAATTATACATCATTTATAATTTATTTCACTGCTTAAATTGAAATATATAGTTTACAACATTATACAGATACTTTAAAAATGCATATGCATTAATTTATTTGGAAACCTTCTACGTCGTATTTTTTTCATCTTAAAAATGCGTCAATTGATACCATTATGAACTTTTCATGCTCCGCACCAGAGATGATAATATAATATCTTTCCAAAAGTAACAAATTTTGTAAACAATATAAAATAATGAAATTTTATTCAGAAAAAAACAAAGTTTTCATATGAAAGGAAGAAAAAATTTATTTAAAATTTTAACTTCAAATAAGTCTGCATCGTGTACAAAAATTGAAATGAGCTTTTTTTAAAACGTCAAAAATTATTTTTAATGTTAAAATAAATAGTTTTATCTCATTATTCACATTATTTTATTTCCTATTCTTAGTCATTTTTTACTAAAATTTTAGTAAAAAAAATTACAACTACTAAATCAAATTGTAATATTGTAATAAAAATTAGTACAAATTAATAAAATTAAATTAAACTAAATTAACTTGTAAAATGTTACTAAATAGATAACTAATTTTCTAATTATTAAATTTCTTAATTATTTTTAAAGAAATTTTTTAATGAATTAACAAAAAAAAATTTCATGTTAAATCGACTAACATTTTCTTTTAAGATTTATTGATGAAAAGGTTTATTACTTACAAATTTAGAAAAATTAGTTTCTTTCTCCGACCGGAAGCGGTCAGCTTCGGCGAGGTGGAATCACCGACGTTTTTCCCGCTTAAAGCAATCCGCGAATGAAGTGTCAACTCTTCCTTTCACTTGAAAAAAGCACTTCACATTAATCCTTAGAACATAATAACAGTTTAGAATTAAAAAAAAAAAAAAAATACTGTCAATTGACAAAAATCAAATAATACTATAAAATCATTTAGAATTTGATGATTAACATATAAATAAATTTAAAAAATCGTTTCTCTAACTATATGCATCCGCTGTAACGATTTCAGTCAATCCTCTCTGTTCAAAGAACGTCTTTACACTCGACTGTATACTAATCGAGACTTGCATATAACCCCGTATGACCCTTCCTGCCACTTTCTGGTGTGGCCTTTCCAGAAGCTGTTTTTTGCATGAGTTGATTAACCATTTGCCTGCGTGTGACACTATATCGTTTTCAAAAATTCCCTGGCAAGTCCTCCATTTCCTGCGCCTACTGGTGAACCGGTCTCTATTCCCTCCTGGACCACATATAGAATGGTGGTGGTCGTTGATCATGTGTGGTGGTGACAATTTTTCAGCCAACAGGTACAGCGCTTATAATATGCTCCGGCTATTTATTCTCGTATCAGTGATAGGCTAGAAAGAGATGACTTTTAACATATTCTAATAACTTCAAACTAATATGTCAAAAGTCTAACTTCTAATTTAAAATCTGACATTTTATTTTCGTCACTTAGGCTTGAAGCTTTTAAAAAGAGGATCAGACTAAGAATATTTTAACAGAAAGCAAGTTTCAATGTTCAAGATCATCGACTTTTTCGTACTTATCATAAGTCTTATGTGTCAGTTCTAACATTGACATTTTTTTTGCAAAAATATATATTATATTTTTTTCATCTTAAATCAATTTCCAAATACATTTGAAATATTTTTAAACTACAGACATACGATGAGAACTCATCTATTTATATCAGATTGTGTAAATGCTTCCTGTGACAGAGTAGATTTTTTGTTGCGCTGTGAACCTTATTTATTTTACCTATAATTGTAATGAAAAAAAAGACTCATAAATATTACCTACATTAAACCTGTCGGAATTTTTGTGATATCGAATTAAAAATTATCAAATTTTTATTTAGCAAAATTTTATAATGAATGTATTTTTTATATCGAAATGGATTGGATATGATTCCCATTTAACAGAATTCTTATTTAAGAAAACTTTTATTCAATCTATTAAAAAATGTGGGTTTTAAATAATTAATTTATGCAATTTAAAAATATTGATTAATTAATTAGGTACAACAAAACTGTCATATGTGCTTTCTGATTTTTGACGACTTTACTATCTTTTTCTAATTTTTATCAGTTAATAATTCATTTTTAGAAACATGCAAAAATTAAAAACTTAGGAAGATTTCTGTTAATAATAAATATAGTTTCTACAAGAGAAAATAGTATGCTAATTACGAATTAGATGACAGTTTTTCAAAAATAAAAATGGAGAATCCAATATGACAAATGATTTTTTAAAAATTGATCTTTCTTTCTTTGAAACTCATTGCTCAGGGTTTTCGGGATCACCGATTGCAAATTTAATATCACATTCGTAATCAGTGACCCTGAAAATCCCCGAGTTACAAGTGTCAATCCAGCAATGTGCAAGAGCATAAAGTATCGACTACAGTAAAAAAAATAAGGATTAAGCGATTAGTTAAGGAACTTTTACATTTATAAATGTAATATAGCTTTTTGAAAAAAATACTTTATTAACAAACGTAAAGTATTATATGGAATTCACTTAAAAGTAATAATTTATTTGCAGTCGTAAATGTGTACCTCTAATCATTTATTTTTTCCTTTTCCTATTACTCTTCTACTCTTTCCTAAACGCTTAACGTGTCCTTTGATTTTTGTACCCTTTCCCGATTTGATTGGCCTGCGATAGTCTGAAACATCTGCAGCACTTGCTTTGGTATTTCTCTTCGCATCCTTTTTCTTACCACCAAAGCCGAATTTCTTATTTTTTAATTTTCTTTTTGCATCAGATTTTGTTTGCTGAGTTTTTCCATCTAGAAAATTAAGATCTTGTCTCTTTCCCTTTCGGTACTTTTTAACTTCTTCTAACATTTGTCTCTTTTCTGCGTGTTTCTTCAAAGTAGCTTCTATTTGCATATGTTTGTTAACTTTAGATTGTGCCCTCATTTGTCTTACTTTCTCAGAACGTTGAACTTCAAACTGTTTCTTCATTAAATTCTCACGAACTTTTTGCATATGCTCATCAGATTTTACCATTTCTGCAAAATAATCATCTGGTCTAATAATCGGAACGTTTAATTTTTTTAATCTTGTCACTGCTTCGATTACAGCTCCCTGTGCTTGTCTATAAAATTGTGTTTCTCTCCGAAAATCGTTAAGGACAGGATCCTCGCTTGGTTTGAATTGAGGAAGTTTCTTATTACCTTTAAGTTGTTTTGCACGTTTAATTTCTTGCTCTTGCATTTGCAAGGCCAATTCTGGTGCTAATGGTGCAGGAGAATTTATCAAATCCAACCGTTCAATCCACGGTAGTTTTAATGTCATTTTGCCTAATATTTCTTTTATACGTTTCTGAAAAGATAAATATTTAGAATTAAATCTCATTAAAGTCTTTGTTTAATTAAAATTTGCATCGCTTTTTCAAAATTTAAGATTTTTTAATACTTACACTATTTTTATTATCAGGATTTTCTTTATTTCTTACGGTATTTAACCCTGGTTTTAAGGACCCATTAGCTAGTGCTTCTTGTAACTGAAATCATGAAAATATGTAATTAAAATACATTCTCTTATGCTAAGAATATAACAATTTTAAGTTGTGAAATTTACAATGAAACTTTATTAATAATTACAATTAAGTTTAATTCAAATAATAAACATTTCTTTAAATGTACCAAATTAGTCTTTGAATAAGTGCAATTTTTGAGGTTATGAAGTAATATCATAATCCTAATTAATTCAATTATTAATTGTATTAAAATATATATGTCATTATATGGCGGTGAAAAATTTCAAAAAAAAATTTGAGTACATATAAAATTATTAAAAATAAGAATTCTTTCTATAAATATGACTCGAATAGCCTTCAAACAATAATCTGATAACCCAGGAACTGATACATATAATAAAAAGAAAAGTTTAATATAATTTATACTTTGAACATGCAAAATACCTCTTCGTCAGAAGAGCAGACTTCTGAATCTGAATCACTGCTACTCATTGTCAATTATTTATTTAATATTATAATTTTCAATAAAGAAAACAAGCACACAACAGTGACACGTGCTTTAACCTACTACTTTAATGATCACCGGCCACGGATTTAAGGTGCATCTTCAATAGATCTTGGTGCATTAGGTTGTGTCAGTTCATCGAGATATTTCGAGTTCAAGATATGACGTCAGAGGCCTGGAGGGACAACAAACAGACGACACAATGTTATTCTTATGAGGAAGTTAATTTCCACTTTCATCAATTTTATTCAAACTTTAAACATGGAAAACGCTTGTTGACATCTAATAAAATTAAAATGTGTGTTGATAATTAATTTTGTTATATGTTTGATTCAATTGCATTTATAGATTCTCTGAATTCGTGATAAAATATATAAATTTTGAGGTTAGGGGTGTCTGTTTACTAATCACATTTTACATTTTAACAACATTTTAATTTTATTAGATGTTAACAAACGTTTTCCATGTTTAAAATATGAATAAAATTGATGAAAGTGGAAATTAATTTTCTTCCCCATAAGAATAACATTGTGTCGTCTGTTTGTTGTCCCTCCAGGCCTCTGACGTCATATCTTGAACTCGAAATATCTCGATGAACTGACACAGCACACAGCCTAATTGATATCGTAAAGGTTTCGCACAATAGTCATAGCCAATAAAATTCAGTGATTCTCCGAGAAAGGTATGAAAGCACCTTTAAGCTTTACGTATTTCCCCCCATCGAAGTGTCACATAAAGGACTTTCCACTATAAATTAAACTATGCTACGTAGGCAACCCATCCCTGAGTACAAGCCACCCCTAGCGGTCAGCGGTGTAAAGGCTATCACATTTTTGTATCATGTCCATGTGCCTAACCTAGTCAAGACTATTAATTGAAATGTTTGTAAATAAGTAATACGTCTGTGTCAATTGTATTACATAGTTTCTATATATAAATACACAACGAATAATTTTTTCTAATTTTGTTCATTAATTGAGCATAATGTGTTCAACTAGAGAAAATCTTCGATTGAGTCTCGAATTTGGGTAAATCTTACGTTATTTCTACACAATTCATTTAAAAATGTCAAATTTTAGATATATTTAGAAAATTAAATAATTGTGTGAAACTGATTTGTTGAAATTATTTCAGGGGTGGTGCTGAATTTTTATTCGATAATAAAAAGAAACATGTAATCGACTTACCAGGTGATGACTGTAAGTAATTAAATTGTTTTCTGGATTTTTCTTCTAAATTCTTGTGATGACCTAATTTGTTCAACTTGCAAAGGGACTTTAAAACGTTTACTAACATGGATCAAAGATAATCTCTTGAAGGAAAGAACGGAACTTTTCATGCAGAATGATACAGTGTAAGTTAGAAAAAAGTTTTTAATTTAATATATTTAAATACATAACTAAAATTAGAAATGTTTAACAAAAATATACTACTTTTTTTAAAGAAACGTAACCTAACCTCTTAAAAAAAGGTTAGGATAAATTAACAAATAATTTTATAATTATAAAAATGCATATATAATTAAAAACACTTTTTTCCGGTAAGATATGAGTTTTTTCGCGTACTGATATTTTTAATATTAATTTTTTTACTATTTTACTTTATTTTAATATAAAATATTTGCAAATTCAACAAAATTATCCAAAGTTAACATTTTTAATCAGGAAAATTCACTATTTTCTTTATTCATAGAGAATTTTCTAAATTTCCAATCTTTTAGACATTTTTTTTAATCAGATTGAATTAATTTAATTTTGATATAGAATTATGAACCTAAGAAATTTGGGGATACATACAAAGGGATGGAAATTACTTGATCGGGAAAGCAGGGTGGTTCTTCGATGGCCGCTTTATGATTGCCAGAATTCGTGCGCAAGCGTTAAACATTTGAAATAAAGAGCGCGGCTCCTTTTTATTTTGTTCACATTTTATCGATTAATTATCGTGAATGGACATTTTTTTGAGGCCTTATTTTATTATTTAGAAATATTAGAAATCTTAGGATTAAGTATTCATTGTGTAGAATATTTTTATATTCTATGAAACTTTATTTAGATGTACATATAAGTAATTTACAGAAGGCCGGGAATTTTGGTACTTGTAAATGATGCTGATTGGGAATTATTGGTAAGATAAATTTTAATTAAGTTTGAGCTTTATTTTTTTGTGCTTGTTTGAATTTGGCGTGTCTTAACACTCTGACTTATTCTTCTTTCGATTAAATTTGCAACATTTGGTTCGTTTTTTTACCTCTCTTTTTCCCATTTCGAGAGTCTTGGATAATTTCCATTTTTTCGATATTCGATCTCCTCCATCCCTTCTTGCTTTTTTTTGCTATGGATTTGATATGCGATCTTCTCCTATTTGTTTCATGTATTTTTTTTCTCTTTAATATTAATTTTTTTGCGATATTCGAATTCGATTTTCTTCTTCTTCATTGCTTCATGGTCTTTTTTTGGCTTTATGATTGCTTTGTTGTTTGTATGGATACGAATAAGTGTGTTATAGAATAGTTGTTTACAGCCTATAGAATTTATTTGAAGATATTATATTATTTTTTCAGGGTCAGGGTGAATATAAACTTCAACAGAATGACACTGTTCTTTTCATATCGACGCTACATGGAGGTTAATATTTCTATATAATTAAAAAAAATATAGACAATTAATTAAGTTTATACTGCGCTTTAAGACTCGAGTTTATATACGATGGGTAAAAGTAGAGACATATTTTGCAGCAGGGTCTTTTATTATTTTATATATACATATATAGGGACTTCCGCCAAGTTGACATTTTTACATTTACCATTTATTGAAATATTTTGTTATTAAAAAAGTAATATAGTTAGATTTATCTTAGAATATAATATCTCTTTATTTTTTTCAAGAAACAGTACAATTATATCGTCGTATAAAAATCCATTCCAAGTTTTCATATTGTCCTCGATTTAATTTATTCAATAACTTCATTCATCTTTGAGACGAGGCAGGAGTAAATAAAGCAAACAATTTACAATTTTTAATAAATTTATTATTTAACAATTATTTACTACCATAATTTTTATCTACGATTTGGTGATTGCTAATTACAAATTTTTTATTTTAATTTGTCTACACTGTAAAGACAAATAATAATTACAATTATTATAATTTTATATAAATATTTATTATAGTATTGATTATTATTTAATGATTTAAGATAATTATAGAGGAGTGAAATATTGTGTAGTGTTATTGCTCGCTTGATTATTTCGCGTATACGTACAGTTTTGCATACTTTACGTGACAAAACATTCCAAGACGAAAGTTTTGCACTTTTGCATTATAGAGTTATAGTATAACTTTGATAGAGCCTCCTTTTCGTCCACGGTCGTTTACCCCATTCCTACATACTTTATTACCGAAAACTTTGCTTGTTAATTATACCTCGAAAGAATTCATTGCCGCGTACAACTGCAGCACGATCTTGAGAGATACTTAAGAGGAGTGTGCTTATTTTCTAGGGTTTGAAAAAAAAAGAAATAAGAAACAAATTTCTTTTTATTTATTTTTCCATTTAATTTTAATAGCATATCATTATTATTTTAGCATTTTTGCCTGATGTTAAACAAATATCTCGAAAATTATAAATTTTCTTAATTATTCTATAATATAAGATAACATTATGAATAATAATAATAATTTAATAGTTTTTAAATTTTTCCCTACATTTCTTAAATATTCTCTTGCTCTTTAGAAATGGGAAAGATTTTACATTGAGATGAAATCGCCTCTTCCTTTGCCCGGCGAATTAAACTTTTGCGTCGCGCTAACGGTTGTTTCACTTTGAAACGTGGGTATAATTTTTGTTATCTCGCGGCCCGCGAGACACGAAATATAAAATAATAAAGACCAGGAAATCATGGGGGTTAGGTGCATTGGCCAAAAAGTTTTACCTATTATGCAAAAACTGTTTCGCGCTAATGCGTCTTTTTCAACTTTTAACGGCAAACCTGTTATTCATTGTAGTTTTTGCATTTTAAAAATTTATTTTTTCAATATATTTTGTTTCTGGTTTTTATTTAAATTTCATATTCGCATTTCAACAAACTATACACAATTTTTTTCGAATAAGTATCGTGTATTAAAAGCTTCAATTTTCAGTGGGAAAAATGATTTTTTTTACTTTTTTTCCAATTCGTCTGTATCGTTTTCTTTTTTGCTAACGCGCAAAAGGTCACAACTTCCTTTTTTTTAGTAGTTTCTCTCTCGTTTTTTTGCGTTCTTGACAATACTTTCAAAGACGCTAGCCATCAGCATAAAACGTCAAGTTTTATGAGCCATAACGAATAGTTACATCAACCTCAAAAATAGCTGACATTGTGTTGTCAATTGTTGAAAGCATTCGAAACTAGAATCTCTTCACAGTTGAACGTAAAGAATGTTTTTTTTATTTCAAAAACTGTTTACATAATCGTTTAATTGACTGAAAAAATATTTTATTTATTGTTTTTTGCTTTTACTGCAGGAAATTTTTTTAAAATAGCAGAAATTAGTTATATTTTTAGTTTAATTAAATTTTTTCTTCTTCATTGAAAAATAAAAATTGAATACATAATAATAAGGTTATCGCGTGTCCATGAAACGTTACTTTTACTAGAAACAAACCGACAGAGAAACTATTTCACAAAGGATGTCCTGGTGAAGTAAATTTTGCGGTCAAACCACGAGGCGCATTGCAACTCATGAAATATATATACTCTCTGATATGTACAGAATAATCCAGAAACTATTTCGATTACGCTTTCTAATTCAGAATGAAAATATATATATATAATTGTAACTTTAGGAAAAATTTCTCTGAACCGTAATATAGTACGTAAAACTAATTATATTTTCGTTAGTTTTTAATTTACTTTTTATGAGTGGTATTTTCAAAGAAATTTCATAAATTATTCGTCGAATAATTCAGAATTCTAATTACAATTTTCATAGTCAAAAATTAGGAAAAAAATATTAATAGTAATTATTATTTTTCAATTTCAAATTCTATTCTAGACATCTCCAAGAATAATAGAGAAATTTTTCAGATTCTTATTTCGAGATTCTTTTTCAATTAGCTGTAAACAAAATAAGTCAGGGTTATCTATTTTTCGTCCTCCACTTTCGTACAGGTACTGTTTTAAAAAAACCTAGATTTAACTAGATTCTTTTTTAGACGCTAGAATTACAGAAAATTTTTCCACACTCGACAACGTACAGATGCCAAAGTCTCATTTTAAGGGTTTCTCAGTCCTTGGCCACGAATCCCTAGAATTTAACGATTTCTTGAAGGAAAAGACCCTTTGTTTCTTATGATGCGGGCTCCCACACTATTAAAAAATAATTTCAAAAGCACGACTGAATTTCATAAATATATATTTTTTTAAATAACAGACAGATTGCAAAAAAATTTAGTTTAAAGGAATAATTATCAATTAAATCGTATTTGTAAATATTTATTTGATAATAATTAAGTAATCAATTATTTGAGTCAAATTTTTTTTAAGTATCACTTAGAATATTCCTATGCAATTTTTTTTATTATCTGTAAAAAAATTATCTAATTTATTATAATGGCATATAAGAAAAGCTTCCCTCCTGATGCATCAGTATCGATCATTTTAACATTTCACGCTTTTTTTCTGAAATAGGAAAGAAACTTTTTTCATTTTCCTATATATATATATATATATATATATATATATATATATATATGGAAAGCCGAGCTGTTTCCATGTCACTAAATTGGTTAACCTTTTTTTACGATATCTCAGAAGAAATGAGATAAAAATGACACTAAAAGTTGTCTTCAAAAAGTTTCTTTATTAGATTTTGGGTAATTTTTCTACACTGATGACTGAAAAGTAGTATATAAAAAAAAATTTAGAAAACGGATGGAATCTATATCAAAATGCAATTTTTTTTAGTCTTTCAAAATTAATTTTTTTTTAAATTCAAATTTAAAGAACAGTATATAATTTTAAAGGAAATAATAAGTTTTCTGAACAAAATATATATAGGTATGATAAAGAGAATAAGTTTTATTTCATCAATTTTTAGAAAAAGTGAAGTTAAAGTTATATGACATCTTTGGCTAAGTTTTTTCTTTTTCTTTTTTTTATATGTTAACTGATCTTTCTATCTTATTCTCTTTTCCGTTACCTATAAAGTCATATATAACCTCTACTCTGTGCTACGTGTCTCAAAAGTTTATAGCTCTTTTATGTGAATTTTTATCGTTGTGTAAACTATGCGATACTCGTATCATATCCGTTTCCGTATCTCTGTGGATATTCTTTGCCTTTTATCCTCTCTCTCATATATATATATAAAAATCGCGTGTAAACTTCTAAAAAAAATAAATTTTGATAAATCTTGTATCCATTAGTGCGACAAAATAATAATTACATACTTTAGTGTAGAGATTAATTACTACCAATTTAGTAAATACAAAGTCTCAAACAATTTCTCTAACAATTTGAATTTGTTATAATAAGAATAATGAAATTGTTGAGAGAATTTATTATCACAATAAACTAGATTTGTTAGATATTAATAATTATTAGATTTAACAATTCCTTTTTCTTCGTGTAGTACTTGAAAAATGACAAATGTATAAAACTATGTATATTTTCTTTTTGTTGACTCAAATTAACAGTTTCTTTCTTCTCGAAAGTTTTAGTTAATGCTTGTTAGAAGAAAGGACTATAAATTTATCTTTATATATAGCTCAAGTTTTTTCACAAGTTCCATACAATGTTTATCGTTTGTAATATTTTAATATTTCTTTACATATGTTATACATTCGAAGAAGAAAATCGTAATCTGAAAATTAAAATAAAAAAATCTTAATTAGGTATTTAACAATTTTGGTTATTTTATATACCTTTTTCGTTTCCAAATAGTCGGATAATAATTTTGTTGATTTATGCCTTGAGCGCTGATGTCCCCACACAATTCTTGATATTTTATATTTTAGACAAGAATTGCGTTTGGACAATCATAGCCTAGGACATTCTTGACCAAAATTTAGTTCCTTTGAGATCGGTTTAATTTTAAATCTTCAGCTTTCCGTTCTTATATCTGAAACAACGAATAAAAAGGAATAAGACGAAGAATTTGCGGATGCCAAATGACAAATTATATAAATATTACATACAACTCGAAGATTCTAAAATTATAGTTAATTTCGGTAGCTGTCGCGGTTGCAAAATAAAAAATTTTTGAATTTCAAATTTACATCGGGATTTGATTCATAAATTCACTATTCGATGAATGAAGAGACAATGTCTTCTTTGGTGTTATAACTCTCATCGAACCCTCATTTCATATAAGATCCTTCGCTTGTCGGAACCAACTTCACCTTTTCACTTTGTTGTTGGATCAAAGATGAGTCTGCAAGCACAAGAGTGAATACAGGCACGCTCAATCAATTTTGCCTTATCGTGTATATATATATATATATATACTCGTGTTCAATGTCTTGGTAGCTTGTGGGAAACGAGGGATTCCATCATCCACAGGGGTTTTGCTTATAATTGCCTTAGTTTGACTTACGTGCCCTAAGGAGAATATCTGTCTTTTTGATTATTCATCCTCAGTTGTATAAGTTAGTACCTGATGAATCAGATTTAGTTATTTATATATTCGCGGTTTTCGCAGCCGTTCAAAGTAAAAAGATACATAAAATAATAATTTAAATAGTTTATTCTTTTTTATGTATCATGAATGCCATGATAGCAAAAATGTTTCTTCTGAACCTTTTTACTTTGGACGGCAGAATAATCAGTAATTATTTATATAATGAAAAAAAATATTAAGCAAGACATGGTTTTTAATTAAAGAGCAGACATACAGTGAATTTTGAAAGTTTATGTGCGCAATTTTGTAAGTGACAACATGTCGTTCATTGCAACGACAATATGTTACGGGCATTTAAAAGCCGGTATATACCAGGCAGTTGTGATGCACGACAACGCCGTGGTTGTACCCGCACCAAAGGGAGA